CTCAATTCATATGGAACGTTTGTTTTCTTTACAATGATTTGCTTAAATTGTGAAGATGAACCCAGCATTGATTTTATTTTCCATTTTGCAGTGTTTAAATCACGAAGAATTAAATTTAAATCAAACTTTCCCGAATTAAAACCTATGATATTCACTTTATTGAATTCCTCATCTAGAAGTTCTTTAAATGCTTCCTTCTGTTTTTCATTTAATGTATGGGACAAAGTCCCCGCCGTTTGGTCCGTTTGCGACTTCATTAATTCTTCATATTGTTCAATATTTGATTTAGCAACTAATGAATAGGTTGAAAATAAAAACTCAATCCAATCAGAAATAAAAGAATCACTCGAAGTTAAGCAAAAATTCCTCGTATATGTTTTATCATTTAATTTAACCGTTGATGATACCATGAATGGTTTTAAGTAAGCGTTCAAAGTTGCACACTCAGAAAGTTGTAATTCTTCTTTAGTCTCTAATGTTTCGAAGTCAAAAGTAATATAATATCTTGTCGGTTGATAATATTCCTGCAAATTATGAGCTAATAACCACTGATATATCTTCTGTTTCGTAATATGTGGTGCATATGGTTGCTGTGTCTTTTGCAACTGAACGTCTTGAATTAATCTCCCATTATTTTCTTTACATTTCTCACAATGCTTTAAAAATCTTCTTTGGTTTTTCCTTTCTGGATCATCACGGATAGAATAAACTTCTTCTTTACAATATGGACAAACTTTATAGCCGGTGAGTGCTTCAACGTCTGTTATTCTGTCAGCGTGAAGTTTTCCACATGGACTCTGTGTTAATAAAATATTTACTGTTTCAAATTCTGGATCTATCATTATTGATTCCACTAATGGAAAGTCTACCTTATTTATGTCCACGTCTTCTGGTTGAGGATCACAATAATAGAAATCAATATTAACATTTAACATTCTCGCTAATCTCTCACTTTCTGATGAAATGTCAAACCCTTCATATGCATCTATTGCTTCATTTAAATAGCTTCTACGAGTTTTAGGATTAACACCATCAGGAATGTTATAGAAGCGTTTAAATAACCTTCTACCTTCTGCTCTAATTTGATTATCATTCCTTTTAGCCGTTCCGTTTTTGTTCATTTATGTAAGAATAAAAAATTAAAAAATAAATAAAAATAAAGTTTATTTTTTAAAGCCCATAAAATGAATTAAGAACACATAAATTTTTATCATCTGCGACGTGACGAATACATTTTAATTTACTCAAGAATGCGTATCCTGATACATTAAATCTAATTCCTGTCTTATTTAATTTCACAACTTTGAAAAGGAATGTATGAATAGCTATAAAATGATGAGAAGATGTTTTATGGGTTGCTTCCATTTTTTCTGAAATAAATGAATAAATATAATGCTTATACGTTTTCATATCTTTTATATTCTTAATAACGAATGGTATAGACCTTTCCACTTCGTCTTCCTTCGGTGCTGTTCTTTCATATGAAACATTATTGGTATCTTCAATAATGAAACCACAATCACACAAAATTTTATATGTTCCAATGGTTTCTTTTGATATTTTATCTAATAAATCAAAAACTTTATCAACACCCGTGCATTTATTTAAATAATAATTTGTGTAAATATCATGATCTTCTTTCTTAATCGTATTAGTTGCATATGTCACGTTTCTAAGAGCTTTTTTGAATTTCTCAGAATCGAGAGGGGGTGAAAGTAAGATACAAGGGTATTTTTCATTATCAATAAATTGTAACTTATGTTTACGTATAAATTTAGTACCTTCTTCTGAAAGTGTTTCATCTATTTCGCCATCTAATAAATTTTGTGTTGATTCTGAGACATAATTTTTATATCTTTCTTCATGAGATTTCTGAACTTCTGATTCTGAAGCTGGGATATTCATTAAACCCTCTACTTCATTTTCATTATATTTTTCAACTTCTCTTAATTCCTTAATTTTTTCATCTATTTCATCTCTTATTTTTTTCAGTCTTTCAATTTCATTGTATTCATCATCTTTAATCCGTTCTTCATAATATTCGGGGAAAACATCAGGTTCTTTAGGTTTTTCTTCTTCAGATGTGGGATATAAGAAATTTATAACATCATCTTTATTCATTTTTCCATCATAATCTAAATCATTTAATAACTCGGCAAATTTTTGACAATTTCTTAAATAATATTTATTAACTTCATAACCTACCTCCTCTAATATATCCTTTATTTCCTCGTTTGTGAATCCTAATTTTTTAACGTTGTTAGTTTTGACGCTCATTTCATACAAAATAAAAATAAATTATTCAAAAATGTAAGACATGAATTTTTAAAGTTTATTTTTTATTTCATTATGGTAGTGAATCTTTTATTCATGAAAATAATTATTTCTAATTTCTTTTACTCTCTCGTACATACTAGATTTAAAGAATTCAGAACTTTTACCATAATCTCCTAAATGTTTTCTTATCCCTAACGTGTGCCAGTTATTATATGAAACTGAATAAACTTTATCTTTATCTTTACACCTTTCATCACTTCCAATATATTTATATCTCAGTTTTGATTTATTGGTTTCATATTCATTAACGTTTAATAATTCACAGTCTTCCTTTTTAAATAAATGTTTTATGTATTCAGGATTAACAATTCTATAATATTGCTTCCCTTTAAATCTTTGAATATAAACAGGAACACCATCCTCTAAAATTCGATAATCTATTTTATCTGGTTTTACTTGTTGGGTCATTTATGTAAGAATAAAAAAATAAACTTTTAAAATTAATATGTTAAAAAAATGATACAAAATCGCTCGATATTGTATGAATTCTTACGTTTACAAAAAAAGTCACAAAACCCATCCTATCCTACTACTCTGAAGAGATTCATCGCATTCACTGAAAGAGAAGAATATAATGAGAATCAAAAATTTCCCAATAAATTATATCCATTTAATAACAAAGGATATTCATTACTTGAAATATGTTGTTATCACGGAGCAGTTGATTGTTTCAAGTTTTTAAGAACGAATTTTGATTCAGAAATAACTCAAACATGCCTAAAATTTTCATTTTTAGGAGGAAATCCAGAGATTATTCATGAATGTTTGAAATATCAAAAACCAACTCGATATTGCATGCAATATGCAATTATTTCACACAACATTGATTTTGTCACATTCTTAATGAATGAATACAATATCAAGATTGATCTAATGTATTGCGGAATGTATAAAAATCTTGAATCATTTTTAGTTTATTTCGATCAAACACATGATATTAACAAATGTTTTATCTATTCAACGAATTTTGGTATTCCATCCCTTTGCAAATATTTCCTTTCACTTGGCGCTAATGCCAATGAAAAAGATCTATTTGAAGATACCGCTCTTCATATTGCCACAAAGAATAATTACAAAGAAACTATCGAGATTCTTCTTTCATATGGGGCAAATATTAATGAAAAAGATAAAAATGAGGAAACAGCTCTTCATTTTGCAGTAAGTAATAATAATAAAGAAATAACTGATATTCTTATTTCTCATGGCGCGAATATCGACGAAAAAAATACATTTGGACGAAAAGTTCTTCATTTTGCAGCAGAAAATAATAGTGTTATAACAGCTGAACTTCTTATTTCACTCGGAGCAAATATTAATTACCCTCTCAATTTTGAAAGCTTCGTTAACTTAATATCTCGATGAATATTGGATTAAAATTGAATTTGCCCATACCAATATATCTGATACAATATCCTTAAGTTTTACTAAAAAGAATTTTTTAAAATCCCTGCAGATTCGGGGATTTTTAAATTTTTTGATTTTTTTCGAAAATTTTTCAAAAAAAAAATATTTTCAGAAGAGCCTTAACGGCTAAGTTTTATGTTTAATGTTGAGTATCAAAAAGAATGGGCATCTGATATAGCCATCATATATCCCAGAAGCAAATAAAAATTCTGACTTTTTAAGCATAAAAAATGAAATTTTATTTTTTGCAAAAAACAGGCCACCCGGATGTACGTTTATTTGAGAGGAGGAGGATTAAATTTTTGAAAGCACTAAAATTTGTAAATATTCTAGTTATATAATAATATGCATTATTTTAAAAAATAAAAATTAAAGCACGTTAAAATCTTTTTTGATGAATTTTTACAAAAGCTACTCAGGATAATGCAAGATATGAGTAGTTAAACATAAATTTCAAATCAGATTTTACTTATAATAAATATTTTAAATTTCCGAAAATTAAGTTCAGATCGACTCTATACGTAGTAAATACTAAATAAGGTGCCAAAAACCTATTAAACAGTATCAAAACTATCAAGATTGTAATGTTTTTGAAGAAAAATTTATAGAATTATGGACTTCAAACAGATATTATGTAAATAAAAATAATATAATGAATTTATTTATTCGTATAATAGCAGTAATAAGTCGATTATTCACTTCTACTTCTGAGATTTGAATTTAATTTCGACAGAAAAAGAGATTCAAGAGGAAAATACTAGGGGATACAAACAGCCACCATGACAGGATTATTATGGAGCCAAGTTGTATTTTTTGATATTTTTAGAGTTTTCCTACCTATTTAGGTACCAAGTTATTGCTTAAAAATTAAGGTTCTAAATTCTGAAGTTTACATGATCCTCCCGGGCGCACCCTTAATGAAAAAGATAATAATGGAAAAACCGCTCTTCATATTGCAGCAGAAAGAAAATATAAAGAAACAGTCGAGCTTCTAATTTCACATGGTGCAAATATCAATGAGAAAGATAATAAAGGAAAAACGCCCTTCATTATACATACTTAGACAGCTTGTTGTTCTTCATCCTTTCGATATACTCATATCAAAACCTTTCGATAAACAACAACCATTTTCCAACATTGCCGGAGCCTACAAAAACCTAAAAAACTAAAGTTCCTTGTACATAAACCACTTGCTAACAGAGAAATCTTTACAGAAATGAGTGTTCTCCCATCAAGAGTCGTATTACTTATTTGACCAAATGGAGATGGAAAAATCATTAATTGCAAGATCATTCCACCATGCTTCTCATGTTTCTTTCTTCGATATAACATGCACAGAGATCATTACAACAGAAGTAGGTGAAAGCGAGCGTCATCTTCACTCCATTTTCGAGCGAGCACGCTCTTCATCATCAAGAGTCGTTTTACTTTATCACTCCTTCAAGAACTTTGTACAAAGTTTAAACGAAGTGACTGATAGATTATTAACCACTTTGCTAATGGAAAGTTATTGATCTAGTTTTTATGTTGATACTCTAATATTTAATGCTAATTCTGTTATTTTTAGCTTTTTGACTCTGTATATTCCATAAACACTGCAATAACATATTTTTTGGGTGTGTTATTAATATGAAAATTTGGATTTATGAAAAGGGCTACTAAATGTTTACTAATATTTATAAAGAATAAAATTATATCAATTAATAGTTAAACAAGAATGAAAACACTTATATAACTATAAGGAATTTTCAGATAGAGATTACATTTGCATGTACATTGTGTGAAATCAAATGTATCTACAAAACTTCTAATTTCCATCCAAAGAACTGCTCTTCTCGCATAGAAGCTGTAATCAATATTTAACGTTGTGTTTTTAACCCATGGTCCAGGGAATTTACCTTCTTCTCTATAGCTAGTATAGGCTCCAATTGCATAAGTCCAATATTTACTAGATCCACACTGCATATAGGTGTTATTACTATTACTAAGCATTAGGCCTCTCTATAGTTGATTGGATTTTGAAATCGATTGCATAAATTCTGAATCATCAGATCTAAATATTCGTTATTGTCATGATCTAATGAGGTTATATGAGGAGATTTTTAGTTTCGAAATCTTTTAAAAAATTGAGATATTTGTAAACTATTCAATTTATTTTTACATGGTAATAAGGTTAAATAAAAAGGAACGTAATCAAATACGATATGCAAGGATATGTCCATTCCTAGAGAAAACGAAATCATTGAAATTAGCTTTTGATTCGTATATCATTGATGATACAATCCAACGAGAAAAGAAAGTTGGATGCATTGTATCATCTGTTTCATATTTATAATTAGTTACATTTCTAATACCAGTTGCATACCCATTAAATATTGATTTATCAAACGCATTTGAGATATAAAAATTTAATTCTTCTGTTTTGTTATTTTCCCATAAATATTCGAAGTACTCACCTTCATATTTGAAGGAAGATATATAAACATGGCTTCTAAACTCTGTTGTTGCTTTTGTAAATGGAAATTCTTGTTCATTAAGTAAATTAAGGCATTCGTTTAACATTTTGTTTCCAAATCCAGGGGAACAAAACTTATGGTCATAAATAACTATTTTGTCATGAACAGATATTCCTATTGATGCAATATCTGAATAATATCTTCTTAATTTTTTTATTAGGTCTTCTGCATTTGAATCATGCGAAATTCTATAGTATCTGTACATGTCATTTATTAGATTGAATGGCAACATATCTGTTTCATCTTCTGCAAAAATTTTAAATGTAATTGAATTTTGATAAAAAGATTGAAGAAATTGCTTTGTCATATATGATGCTATTTTCGCATATGTCTTGTTATGAGAACAGAATGATAAGGAAGCAAATACGGGAAGAATAGGAGAAATTTGCTCAAAAAACGGCCATTTGTCACTAGTTCCTGTAACACATCTTCCATTTTTAATATCTATAAATGCATTAATTGAATATTTGCATAATCCAGCAATATAATCTGCAATTTTTTGTGCTTCAAGTAAATATGTTCGATTTTCTGATACTATATATGCGCTAATTAATGGTGCAATAACATTCTCAGCAACATAGCCTGTTTCGAAAAAAGAATTGTTTAATAATTTCTCAAATATATGTAAATCTAGATCAATTTGGTTATCAAAGAGCAAATTTGTTGTAAGAGTAGCTAATTCGGTCTCTGAAGTTGAAGTTACTTGCTTACATCGATTAGTTATTGGTCTAAATATATCAAATCCTTTGCAATGTTTCTGAAATAAGTAATATTGTTTGTTATGAGCTGGTTTATATTTATTAATTAGATAACTATTGTTGAAATGAAAAGGAATAAAAGCAAATGTGCTCTTGCGTCTAAATTTGAGCAGAATTGTGAAGAAGAATAGAGAAATTACAACTATAACGCTTAAATTTGCAATGAATCTAGCTGATCTGAATCGACGCCTCCTAAAGAAAAATCGGAGTCTGTGTATTATGTAAAATGAATTATGGAATAAACTATAAAACCAATTTATTGTCTAAAACATTATAGATTCTATAGAATTTACTCCATAGAGCAAATATTCCAAATGAAACAATTGCCTTCTTACAATATTTGTATTGCATTTGAGCTTTAATCCACATTGATAACATTATATGAGCACTTATGAAAACAAATTTCCTAATTTGATGATATTTTTAGGAAAATAGTTAGTATTTTGGTCTCAAATTCATAACCAATAAATTACATCTTATTTTAAGTCATTTTGCATATAAAATGCAAAATCATCCTAAAATCTTGAGAGACACTAAATCTTGTCACTTTTCTTCCTTTAGACTTAAAATATGGGACGCGTGAAATCTCACAGAGGCTCTCTTAAAATGGGTGCAGTTATCCGTAAGAAAGCTAAGGCCAAACGCGCTCGCGAGGCTAAACTTGCAAAGACAAAGCAATATCCAAAGCGCTCGAAGAAGATGTTAGTTGCTCCAAAGACAATGCCAAATCGCGAGGAGATCGAAGCATCAATCCATGCCGGCTCACAATTCATTAACGAAGTCTTTAAGCCAATTTCTCAGAAAGTTCAGACAGAGAAGGTAAAGTATTCCGATCAAATGGATGAGCTTCATCATCAAATCATTGAGCAATACAAGCAGAGAGTTGAGGAGGCTAAAAATTCCTACTCTACAATGCTAAGTTCCGTTGATGAAGCTGATGCCTTCATCGAAGTTCTTGATGCTCGTGATCCACAAGCATGCCGTTACCCAGAATTCGAGAATTCTGTCGCTGAAAAGAAGAAACCACTCATGATTGTCCTCAACAAATGCGATCTTGTCCCACGTGATATCGTCTACTCATGGATTGCTGAACTTAACAAGACAGCACCAACAGCTGGTATCTGTGCACTCGCTGCTGAACCTGCTCAGGCTTGCATTTCAGCTTTAATCGCTCAAGTTGCAAATGGAGCTTCAAAGATCGCTGTTATTGGTATTCCAAAGGTCGGAAAGTCAAAGATTTGTGAGCTTTCTCAATCCTTGATCGAATTACCATCAATTGCTTTCGCAGAAACAACATCAGACTTATGCTTACTCGATGCTGCTGTTTGGCAAGATCCAATGAACATATTTGCTACAGAAGTTGTATCTAGAGCTGTCCAGACAGAAGGACAACCAGATATCTTTACAATCTACGAGGTTGATGCTGGAATAGAAGATCCAGCTCAATTTATCGATGCCCTTTGCGATAATTACAAGATGAGACCAAAGGCTGCTTCCAAGAAATTCATAGAAACTCTTGTTTCTGGCACACAGCGCTGGTTCACTGTTCCTCCAGCTGATGTTCCACCAACACCAAACCCAGTACAAGAGGCAGCTCTTGAACTTTCAATCCCAATGGATCTTTCCACTACAAAGTATGTACAATTCCACCCAGGTGATAACATTACAGTAAATACAGAACTTCTCAACGAACAATTCGCAGAAGAGGAAGAGGGTGACGAAGAAGAAGAGGCTAAGCAAGAGTAAGCTTAATATTTACTATAAATTTTTAGAGTTAAAGATTTTATATATTATTAATTCAGATTTTTTAAATAATAAATCACCATTAAAAGATATGATTGATTTGACTGAAATCATGAGATTGTTACATATAAATTTCGAAATTCTCTTTAATCATGTGATCAAATATCAAAAAACGCAAAAATTTATGATTGATACTGCAATTTTGTGATTTTTAGGAACTGTCTATATAGTAGTATCAAACTTAGCATAAAGTTTTTAAAATTTCAAAATTCATTTCTTTTATATTCCCCATGCGTTATATAAAGTTCCTTAAAGTACATGAGCCATATAATTTTGTTATCACTTGGATTTCTATCAAAATGATGGAATTAGAAATTTCAAATTTTATTTAGTTGTGATTTGGTATGAAATCATATGAAGTTCAGATTGTTTTTCACAGAATGCTAAATAATCAAACAATCTGGAAGTGCGTTACATTACATTTCTAAACGGTTGAAACGTTTTCGTTAGGTGACGATTATAAATTTTTCAAAATGACTGTTCCTCCGACTATGACGGATGAGAAGAAGAAAATCAAGCTTACCAAGGAGGATTCGATTTTTAATCACGATTCCTTCTTGATCGTCCACAATGGAACAGAATATATTGTTAATCCTGTCATTTTCATTCAATACTCTCGTTATTTCACAGCAAATTTCCAAAGTGATACAAACAGAATCGTAGAAAACGATGTTTTCCAAGAACCCACATTCGAATGGTTCGTCAGAGCGTGCCAGCGTGAAGAAATTCAATTAACTGGCCCAGAGCTTGTCAACTTGCTTATTGTTGCAGAAAAATGGCAAGCACCAACACTCATTGCCAAGATTGAGGCATTAATTAAGTCTACTCTTTATCCAAACGATGTTCTTACGATGTATTCAAGACTTATTGATACAGACTATCCACTCGATCGTCTTGAAGCGATGATGAGTCAAAATCTCGATGAATACATGAATGACCCGCTCTTCCCGAAGCTCCCAATGAAAGTTATTCAAAAAGTTATCAGAAACGCTACAACATCAATCAATGCAATCAAAATCGTCAAGCTTTGCTACGCCATCGCTCAAGTTCACGGTATCGAAGCTATTACAATCATCGCTTCAAATACGTTTGATAACGTCACAATAGAAGAAGTTGATCAGTTATCTGACATCTTCCGTCAATGCCCATACGATGGCTTTGCTGCCATCTTCGATGCAGTCGGCCGCTGCATTCGACAGATTATTTCCCCAGGAAGTGAGAACTCCCAGTTCGTAACTCTCTGGACACAAGCTGAAAATGGTACAGGCGAAGACGCTTACACATTCTTCATCTACATCCAGAAGGAAGAAGGCCAGGAACCGAAATCCGAAACAGCCGCCTTATTCCTTAAGCTTGCTGCAGAACGTGGCCATCCAGTAGCCATGTACGAGTGGGGTAAGTACCTCCTGAAGATCGCCCAGACACAGGAAGAGCACCAGGCTGCTATTGAGTATCTTATCCACGCAGCAGGCAGAGATTACCAGCCAGCGCGTGCTGCTTTGAGACCATACCTCCCATTAACACAGGTTCCTCGCAACAACCGTCACTACGCTTATCAATGTTTGTCTCTTCAGATATTCCTTATGAATTTGAACAATCTCAACCTTATGCAGACATCCCAAGCTCTCTCACAACTTCAATTCGCTACCACAGAAACAGGAATCAACATCCTCGCCGACAATATTCTAAGAGCCGTCGAAGTTAGACAGAGAAACATCGAACTCTACGGTGAATTAGTACAGCAATTAATTCAAGAATCTACAACAGAAAACTCTTTCGCTGAATTGAAGCAAGTTTTGTTCACAAAGATCATTATCGCACTTTGCAACCCAGATCCGAAGTTCAAACAATTCACATACACAAGATTCCTCTTCGTATGTCGTAACCATGAGGTCTTTACTAACAACGAACTCGAAGAAAGTATCAGTGAATTTATCCGCGGCCGTCCACAGTTTATCAAGTCATCAATGATGCTGTTCTACTGGTTCGCCCCAATTATCAACAAAGAAGACGAAAGTTTTACTCTTATGTCGCAGAAATTAGATGAATTCCGTGGCGGCTTAGGAAACCTCGATCCAACGATCATTTCATTCAAGAAAGATTTCAAGAGATGCATGCATGATGGAAACTGGCAGAGATTTACAGAATCCAGAAATAATTATTCTCCATACAACAAGATGAACATTGCTTTAATGAATGATAACATCGCTGACTTCGAGCGCATGATTTCACCCACCGATTTCGATCTCAACCAAAAGATTGAGAACGATTGCTTCGATCTCGGTATTCCAAACACCGAACAGATCTCTCTTATCCAATACGCAGCTCTCCAGGGCGCATCCAACTGCTTCATGGCCCTAGTTCAAGCCGGCGCTGAATTTTTATCCGATACAGATAATACATCAGCGGTTTGTGCCATTGCCGGACAGAATTTCTTCATCATGAACTTCACGTTAGGCAGCCAGGGGGCTCTCCGCGAGGAATTGTTCAGAACCGCCGCTAAATTTGATAACATGTACGCTTTGGCCTACATTTTACAGAGCGGATGCAACGTAAACTGCGCGGATGAGAAGGGCTACACGGCCATGCATAGCGCTGTCATAAGATCTCATTTGGATTGTGTCAAATTCCTTACAACTGTTGATGAAATCGATGTAAACATGTTGGATAGCAACAAAGCATCACCATTACATTACGCTGTTTGGAACGATGACGTAAATATCGTTACATTTTTAGTATCATGCCATGGAGTTGATCTAAACATCGCCGGAGCCAACAGCAGAACACCGCTACATGAAGCTGTGAAGAATGGCTACCTTGATGTCCTCCAGATCCTTGCAAACGGTTATGGCATCAACATTAATTGTGAAGATGACGACGGAGTAACACCATTCCACCTCGCTGCAAAGAGAGGACACGATTCTATTGTCCAGTTCCTCAAGAACTGCCCTGGAATAGATTTGGATTGCAGGACAAAGGACAACGAAACAGCAGCTGACTTGGCAAAGACAAAGGAGATCAAGGATATGATTACTAATGCTTAACATCTATTTTATTTGAATTATTTTATATATATAGTTTTGGGAATTAATTAGCGAAAAAATTATATTTTTTTTATTTATGATTGAACATTGATAAAAGTTTTTTTTTCTTATTTTTTTGATAAATATTAATAATATTTTTTATAATTGAATCAATTTCCTCATTATACAATTCAATGATACTAAAACTCTCATGGATGACTAAGTGAAAATCTGTTGCCGAAGCACTCTAATTGTCATATTGTTTTATTTATAAAAATGGCAGATTTGAACTTTCAAATTTCTGAAATTGAAAACTTGACTTTTCAAAATTTTGTTTTTCTTTTTCTTTGCTCATTCCTGCGAGGAATGTCCAAATGAGGAAGACCTTATGATAAACCAAGGTGTAACAGAAATAAATTCACATCAATATGAAGATTGTATCCAAATTAAAACAATAACGTTTCCAAGTTCTTTAAAAATTATCAATTATGGCACATTTGAAGGATGCACGGGCATAAAAAATCTTACTTTGCCTGACTCATTAGAAATAATTCAAAGCAATGCTTTTAAAAATTGTATAAATCTTGTCAGTATTAAATTTCCATCATCTCTCAAAATTATTAATTCGAGCTGTTTCGAGAACTGTATTGAACTTCAAGACATTGAACTTTATGAGAATATTATTTTAATTGGCGAAAGATGCTTTTTTAACTGCACCAATATTACTAAAATTACTATTTCCAGTACTAATACTCAAATATTAAGTGAGGCTTTCATGAATTGCGAATATTTAAATACTTTTTCACTTCCAATAAATATCATTGAAATCTCAGCGAGAACTTTCAAAAATTGCTACTTACTCGAAGTAATAAAAAATTTAGAATTTGTTAAGATCATAGGTGATGAAGCCTTTTGTAATTGTTATAATCTAATAAATCTTGGCTATTCAGATAGATTAGAAATAATTGGAGATAGATCATTTGCAAATTGCAGAAAAATGGTATATATTTCATATGGATATCTTTCCAAAGTTGGCAACGACTGTTTTGCAAATTGCACAGAGCTTACTACATTTTATATGAATAATAAAAATATAGAATTAGGAAATTATTCTTTTAACAATTGTACAAAACTTACTAAATTTGTTTATGATTTTAGTCAAACAGAAAACATGTATATATCGAAAGTTCCAAAAGGATTATTTAAAAATTGTGTTTCTTTAGTTAATTTAGATAGAATTTTTGTAACAGAAATAATTGAAGACGAAGCTTTTATGAATTGCTACAATTTAAATGATATTAATTATAAAATACAAGGCTATATTGGCAAAAATGCATTTCAAAATTGCAAATTCCAAAATGTTGAATTGGATTGTTTAGGAATTAATGATTATGCCTTTTATAAGTGTACTTCTTTAGCTACAATTGTTTTACATGATACAGTCAAGTATATTTCTAGTGGCGCTTTCCAAGCGTGTTCAAGTCTAAATTCATTAAAACTTTCAAAGAATTTGGAAGTACTCGGAATTCAAGCATTTTTTGACTGCTTGTCTCTAAAAGATTTGAGTATTTATACAAAATTAACAAACATCAGCATTGGAGCTTTCGAAAACTGTAAAAGTTTAGAAAGTTTGAACCTTGGAAATAATATAAAATCCATTGATTCAAGAGCGTTTTATAATTGCGAAAATTTGGTTTCTATAAGTTTCACTCCGAGTTTGGAGATCATTGGAGAATCATCTTTCTTTAATTGCAAATCATTACCTGAAATCAAACTTCCTTATAGTATGAAAACACTTCATTCAGATGCATTTTATAATTGTATAAGTTTATCATCTCTTACCATACCAAATTCATTAGAAGTCATTGAGAAAAATACATTTTATAATTGTCAAAGTCTTACGAGTGTATTATTGCATGAAAATATTCGTTTTATTAGTTCTTTCTCATTCTTTAATTGTTCTAGTTTGAAAACAATTACATCAGTTGTTCCATCAAATGCAACATTTGAAGATAACTGTTTTACAAACACGATATCTTTGAAAACATTAATATTCGGATCTAATAACTTCGAAATTCTTCGATTTTCTAATAAAGAAAGCCTTACAGATGTCACATTTGCATCAGATACAATCAGTGTTACTCCATCATTGTATGATTTTAAGAAATTAGAGAAAATCGAAATCAACAGTACAAAATCTGTTTCTATACAAAAGAACTTTGCATGCAGTTCAAAACTTTCAATATATTTATATAACAACATTAGCTCCATTGATGATCATGCTTTTGATGGCTCAGAGATTGAGTTATTTGTTTACTGTGGTGTTAACACAATCAAAGGGAAATTCCTTGAAAATGCAAAGAAATGCAAAACAGTTTTTGTCGGGAAGTATTATTTTGACTCAAAAATCGGAGGAATTAATGCAGAAAAAGATAAAATTCCTATGTTTTGCAAAGAAAATATTACTGTTAAATCCAATAGATTGCAGAAAATATTGATAATTGTTTTCTCATCTGGCTTATCTATTTCTTTGATAATTGCTCTAATTATCATAGTTAGGCAACATAGTATTAGGCAGAATCAAAAGAGGATTCAAGATAAATTGCTACTTGGAGCAAATATTATTAACGACTTTGGGTGAAAGTAAAAAGCCCCAAAATGAAAACAATGGAATGTATTAACATTTTATTTGGCTTTAAATTAGTAAAAAGCGTGTTTATTTTTATTCATTAATCATACATTAAAATGGTCAATAACGAGAAAACGCGTAATTGTATATTAACATTTACGTTCTTACATCCATAAAATAATTCAAAAGTGGATCAAAATTAAAATTTTGTAATTAGCAATTGCTTAATAAATCTGTGATTGCATTTTCTTTTTCACAGTTTATGAAATATATTGTTCAATCATAATGCCATCTTCAACTAAGAAACTTACAATTTGATATAAATTTTCCTTTATCGCAAAACTGTGAGCTTATTCATGAATATCAAGAAAATTCCATAAAATAATGATATACATGATGCATTCTTTGCAATTTTAATATCGGATCTTCAAATTAATGAAACCCCGTGTTGTTTCTATTTAATGTAAAATTTGAAACAATTCATCCAAAATAACTGATATTTAGATTCATATGGTGTCCAAAATATAAGAAGATTCTTTCATCAAATTTATTTTATTATAAAATACCTTTTCGGAACTAAACTTGGATGAAACTCATCACTAATTTAACAATTTACTAATATCAAAATCTTTTCTGCATGAATTCGTTTCAAACGTATTTTCATTAAAAATTCACTTGATATTTTTGATGCTCATCGACTCTCCTAAATACTGTGACATGGTATCTCAAAGTGGACTAATACAACAAAGCTGATTCCCAATTTTGGTGTTTTTTGATTTTTCTCCATCAATTCAATTATAAAATAACTTTGCCAAAACCAACTATATCAAACACAAATTAATATATTGTTTAATTAACACTAATTTGGCTACTGGCCAACTAGCGGTTTTTCATTTTATCAAAACTGATTCCACTCTCAATTTATTTTCCTCAAAAATATTAAAAACATGTTTAGATACATATGATAAATATATTTAAAATGTCAATCTATCGTTTATTTTGAGAAGATTAGTTTAGAAATATTTGAATAGATTTTATCATTTGAGGCACTTTAATTAAATGTTGACAACAGCAACATCCTCATCTTCATTCAACAGATTTGTAAAAGTCATTGTTGATGGAGTTCCATATGAAGCAAAGCCGAACGAGAGAATCCTTGATTTCTTTAGCCGTAACCACATTCAGATCCCACACAAGTGCCAAGGAATGCATGAGTGCGGTCTTTGTCGTGTCATTGCTAATGGTAAGAAGGAATTCTCTTGCAATACTCGTATTACAGAAGGCATGACAATTAACACCCAAGATCCTGGCATTAAAAGATCGAACATCAAGAAAGTACAGCGAATGGCAATGAAAGATGAAGACATTGCTAATGCTTACAGGATGATTCAAGATCCAACAAGGAAACAAACCCATACAGATATTACAACGGGTTCCATCTCATTAAATCACGCCGCTTGCATTGATTGCTACAAATGTGTTGATGTATGTCCAACTGGCGCTCTAACAAAGGGCAATCACCTTCAGACATTTGGTCATTTCGGTCTTCGCGACTCTGGCTGTGTTTCTTGCGGTGCCTGCGTTGATGTTTGCCCGACAAAGGCCATCACAGTCACAGATAACATTCCAGTCTGGAGAGGTGCCATGAAGATCAAAGAATCTACAAAGGTTGCTGTTGTTGATCTTACTCTTTGCCACGTCATTGAGAAGGAATTCGGACTTCCAGCAGGTTCAATGACATACGACAAGCTTGCTGTTATCCTTAAGAACATGGGCTTCCAATATCTTCTTGATGCTGCTCTTATCAACGACTACGAAATTGTTAAAGATGCAGCTCGTATTTTCAACCATCATACACAAGGATTCCTCCAGACAATTGGCTCTTTCTGCCCAACAATGACACGCAAGCTCCTTGAATACCCACCAACACCAGCAGAAAAGGTCGTTGAGTTCCTTACAACACCAGAGCTTGATGTTACAACATTTGTTATTTCAGATTTTCTTTCACGCCGTTCTGAAGCTACATTCTACATCAACAACCCAGATATTTACCTCTCAGTTGGTGTTACAACAGCAGAATTCATCAAGATATTGAAAGAAGACAAGCCATCATTCGACGGAACACCATGCGAGATCTTCCCTCTCGGATCTGCTCAAGGCACATCAGCCATTACATCAGAACGCTTTGCTGATGCTGTTGTCTCAACATTCGGCAAGAACTACCTTACAATGAGAACACCACCACTTAACTTCAAGAAGGTTGATGAAGGAATCAAGATTGCCGAATTCCCAGTTCAAGATGAAATCACAGCCCAAGTTGCTGTTGTCGAAGGTGTTTCTGATGTTGACAGACTCTACGAGAAAGACTACAAGAACATCATTTACATTTCTCCAAACGAGAGATTACATCCAAACACAGTTTCTGCACTTCCTTCAATCGATGCAGAGGCTTCAAAGAGAAACATCAAGCTCGCACATGAAAATCCAGATGCAATGATGCTCTGGCACAGATTCCTTAAGGAAATCGATGATGAAAAGTGGCTCAAGAGGAAGAAGTAAGAATATAATTATATATTATTGCTTTTTCGTTCGTTCAACATTTAGTTTAAACGTATTAATTTTAATTTTATATTTATATCATATTGTATTTCATAGAACAACATATTGTAATGCTGCAAAATATCAATTATTGTATCTGGGAACCAAATTTTGGTCAGTTTTTCACATATAACATCAATGGATTTTACAATAGAAAATACTTTACAACAGATTATGGCGAAAGCTAAAGAAAATCCCGAAAATGAAAAGAAAGTATATCAGTCTCTAGAGTCATTGCTTCGATATCTTCAAGATATATTTTTCGAAACAACTATTGAACCACCAAATCAATCGTCAAGTAATACTGTTGAACCAAAAAAGATCACAAAAAAGCTTGTCAATTATGATGATAAAGAAAAGGCTAAAGAATTTCTTGAAGAAATTTCACATCGATATTCTCATTCATTTTCACAACCAGAATTAGTTAAATTTGCTACTTCTATTGGACCAAAACATGGAATTTTTATTAGTCGAGATCAAAAACGAAACAAAGTTTTAATCACTTTATGGTTAAAGTCACATTTCGAAATTCTAGAGCAAGAATTAGGAGAGTATGCTTCAACTTTGCAAAAGATCGAAGAACCAGCTTTGATAGCAGGAAAATAAAAAATCTTCAATCTTTAATTTTCAAAAATTAAAGAAATATATCATAAGGATCACACACAATAGCACATTTAAAACAAATTATCTTTTGTTCAAAGTAATTCATTCATAACCCTTGCATATTTAAAATTTACGATAAATTGTACACATTAAAGCAAATATCTAACATTAGAACAGTTACTAATGCCATTGATCCAGCTTCATTCTACAGTTTCTATAGAAAACGAATCGCAATAGATTCATCTTCTCTGAATGATAAAAATTGCTAATTACAAAGAAGTTTTCGAATGGTAGACTAACATATATTGTTGGTCGCTTCTATCTGTATAATTATATCATTCAAGAATAAAAATAATTTTGATTTTATTTTTTATCAAACATATGCATGAATATTATTTTAATTATACATTATTTTGTCTCAAAATCGAATGATTCGAAATTGAAATCATCAAATGAATTAATGATAAGTGTTGGCTTCGCTTCAAGTTTATTTAGGGATTCATCAGGTTTAACAGTTTGTCTCCATAAGAGAACTGATGGCATATTTGCTGAGTTTGCTGCTTTAATTCCTGATGCAGCATCTTCAAAAACTAGAACATTTTCGGGTGGAAAATCACAGATATGTGCTGCAGCTTTTTGGAAGATTTCGGGATCTGGTTTGGCATGTGAAACTTCATCACCACAAAGTATATAATCAAAATACTTTTCAAAGTCTCTGTGATTTTGAATTTTGTTTTCATAATCGTGTCTTAAAGAACTTGTAGCAATACCTAGCTTTAATCCGATCTGTTTAAGAGTTTTGACGATCCTTTCTACTCCAGGGACAAGTGAGCATTCTGGGAACATTTTATCAAGATATTGGAAACGAAGTTTGACCATTTCTTCTGGTGTCAAATTAAGTTTGTAGTGGTTGATTATGTTTCTGCATGATTCAATATCTGTTCGGCCATTATTGAGGTTAAAAAGCCAATCTGGATACTCTTCTCCAATGATAATACTGTTTACTTTACGATATATTGGGATTGTATCAAGAAGAACGCCATCACAATCGAAAACCGCTGCTTTGATTGGATAAGGCCACACTTTGGCCATTTAAAAAATGATTTTTATATATTGAATGAAAATAAACATTTCAAAGTTTAATTGAGAGTGCATCAACAAAAAATTATTTTTGGGGTGGTCCGCACCCGTAAAATTCTTTTCATTTTTAATGTTGATAACTCCTACAAAAATGTGCATTCGAATGAATTACTGACTCACTCTCAGTCTACTTTCAAAGAATTACACTATCATGACAAATTCAAACAAAAGATCGAACTTTCATCAACTATTTTGGAAAATTCGACTTTGATTGCAAGTAATAACATCTTTGAAATAATCACATAAACTATGCTAAAGAGTTAGTTCACTTTTACCTATCATTTTATCCTTCTTTAATTTTCATTTTATATTTTTTTGAAACAGAAATCAAATCTAATTTCACAACCTGCTAATCACGAATCACATGAAACTATATTCCTTGTCTTGATATTAGATATAATTTATAATCAAATATCTAATATATCAATAGCTAAAATGTGTACATTTTTTGTGCAATTGCATATTAAGTTGCTTAATTGTCGATACATTTATAGAATAATATTCATTTCAATACAATAACATTTTAGATAGCAAATATAAGATAATAATATTATTTAAACATGATTTTCTTTATTCTTTATCAAAGTACTAGTTTTGAACCATTTGATTACAGAGATGAAAATCAAGAAGTTCTTATTGGTTGTTCATCTGAATTAAGTGGTGAAGTTGTTATTCCTCGAACTGTCAAAGAAATATATAGTGAAGGTGAATATAATTATGCCTTCAAGAATTGTAGAGAAACAATCACATCAATTAAATTTGAAGAAGATAATAAAATTATCAGTATTAATAATTATAGCTTTTATGAAACAAAAATAGAATCAGCAGATCTCAGTAATTGCAATCATCTTACATTGCTAAATGGAACAGTCTTTCGTGATTGTAGAAGATTGAAATCAGTTTTACTTCCTCCAAATATTTCAAGTATAGGAAGTTTTTGCTTTTATTTTAATGCTTTAACATCAGTAGATTTACCAGATTCTGTAGAGACTATTTATGAATATGCATTTAGATATAGTGGTTTAACAACCATAAATATTTCAAAAAATTCTAATTTGAAAAAAATATATTATGGGTGCTTTGATAACGCAAAATTTACAACATTTTTTATTCCGAAATCATTAGATGAAATATCGTCTGATGCATTTAGTTATTGTTTTTGTTTGGAAAACATATCAGTCGATCCAGAAAATAAATGTTATAAAAGTGATTCTAAAAATGTTTTTACAGGAACAGATAATTCAACGTTATTTAGAGTTGCATCATCATATTCAGGTGAATATATTGTTCCGAGTTATGTAACAAAAATTTCTAATTGGTGCTTTTTTAAAGCGAATATTTCATCTATTCAACTTCATAACAATATTACATGTATTGGTGATAATGCATTTAATTATTGCAGTTTACTTTCATACATTGAGTTACCAATGAATATTACATGCATTGGCGCCCTAACATTTTATTTTTGCACATCGTTATCAAGTATTGCAATCCCAGACAATGTAATTTATATAGATGTTCTAGCATTTTCTTATTGTTCATTAAAAAATATCACAATCCCAGAAAAAGTAACACATATTTTTGGAGGGGCATTTTGTGACTGTAGATCACTTTCAAATATCATAATTCCAAAAAATGTAATATATATTGGTGATGGTGTATTTTCTCGGTGTACTAGCTTAACTAATATTACATTCCTAAATAATATCAATACTATCACATTTAAAAGAAACGCATTTGAACATATTCAAAATCCCATGAATATCTACATCCCAGGCAAGTTTATTATTTCTATTTTAATTAATTTAGAAGAAGATGATGAAGAGGATTTTAATGAAGAAGACTATTTCTCCGTATTTCCAAATGGAAGTAATTTATATATTACCAGCCAAACAGTTTTATCAAACTCATCTAGAGCTTTATTTGGAGAAAAGCGATTTCATGTTCACTTTGATAACACAATTAAACTTTCAGATCAAACTACAATTGATGTTCTTCAATATATTTCCATTGAAAATATCTCTATTGCACTCTTAGCTCCTAAAACACTGCATAACAATATTTGGTATCCATCTAAACTTTTCCATCTCATGAATCTCTTCATAAGCATTAGCAAACGAGCTGTTTCTTGAATAAAATGTTTATTTTGTTAATACCATTTTTTACAAAAATGGCGAATATTTCAATTTATTTAAATGAATTGCATTCTAGGATACTCTGTAATATTCTAGACTATAAATTCTATATAAATTAATATTGAGATTTCAATGGTATAATGATATGAAAGCATGCATCAGTATTAGAATCTGGCATAAAATATATACGATTAATACTTGATTCTGGAAATTGATATTATTGGGATCAAATTATTTCGAGTTCATATTTTGGATTAAAGCTTGAAGATAGATATACCATGGGTGATAAGTGTTTCTACTTCAAAACGCAGCAGTTACGAGTCAATATATGCTGAAATTCAGGGAATTTAATGAGATTCTTTATGAAATAAAAATGTAAATTTGACATGCCCCTAATCGATTTTTTAAAGGTACATTCACTAGGCGATAACAGTAAAATGGGATGAAAATAGGATAAATAGCATCCCTATATAGTGCCTAACAATATTTATACGGGCCAAAAAAATTTGGCTAGAGATTTGGCGAGTTATAAAACTTAGAAAATTGAGAGGGATTTTTATTTTTGAATTTTTTTTGGAAAGTTAAAATTGCGATTAAAAATCGATTTCCAGGAGAACTAAGCATCTCATCATATATTTAAATCGATAAAAATATTAAATAATAGTTGAATAGTATAACAACGTGAAATTATGGCTGAATCTACAGAAAAAATGAACATATTTGACATTTTTGAAAATTCATACGTTAGATGGTGACAGACTCATAAACTATACTTTAGCTAAGATTGATATATGGTTTCAACAACACATGGTTAAAATCGTAAAAATATTTTAGATTTCAAAAAGATATATATGGTAATATAATGGAACAAAGTCAACAAATAGCATGTTAAATATGTTATAATTAACTTTTTATTAGATCCAATAGTAGATATCGAATGGTTTCCAGCTTTATGGTTAAATATTTTCTTTTCGAGCTTCTCTTTAACTGTTGTATTAAGGTTGTAAATTTTTGATGCTAGAAACTATGGAATCTTCTTTGCTGCTGCATTTTTCTTGAGAGTTCTTGCAATTTCGAATAGATCTGCGCATTGTATGAAATGGAGGCTTTAAAATATCTTGAAAACAGAATAGGACTGCTTTTCCAAAGGAATGCTTACTTGTAAATCAGAGAGTTTCAAATTGACAGCAAGATTATCATCATAACTTTCGATTTTGCTGCGAAAAAGGAAGACAAGTAATTAACAAATCATTTACTGTTGTTCATCAAAAGAAGAAAACTTTGATAACAACTAATGATGATAAAATCAAGCTATCTTTTAATATTTTAAATTGATAAGACATTCAAAATATTTGAATGGTTTAAAATATTTTCTTTTAATTTCTATAAGATATTATCATGATTATATAATAAAATTTAAATTTTTATTCAAAAAGGCAATATTTCAAACTTTTAATTTCAAAAATCTTAATTCTGCAATAAGTGTATTTAATTGTAGCAAATTTAATGATCCTTCGTCATGCTTAGCAATTTGGAACTCATAAATTAATGATTTCTTCAAGTAAAATTCTGCATTATTTCAAAAGTCAATAATTCTCTAGTAACTTTTCTTCAAACCCTAACCATTATATTATATGTATAATGGAGAATAATTGCAAAGAAAGATAGCCGAATTTACTGGGTAGTTCTTGTGATGCGAAATAATTGCAAATTAACACCTAGTTTTAACAGCATCATTCTCTTTTTGCTCTCATTTAAATGCATTCGCACACTTTAATTTTGAAATATAAGAGTTTTGGAAATTATCAAATTTATCTGCTCAAATACTATAGATCTTCATAAGTGTTAATAGAATCATTAGCCTTACATATAGTGTTTAATATAATGATGCACATTATACTGGGATTCATTCCTTATTCATCTAGTTATTATAAGATTTACAACCCCATGAAAATTTAAAATTTTGTCAAAAATAGTGAATGTACCTTTGATTTTTTTAATATATAATAACAGTAGGACCTAGTACAAATCCATTTTTAATAATGAGAAACAATTTATTCATGATTTGAAATTGAAATAAACCGTTTCACATTCTTTTCTAACTTCACATGAGTGACGATTCCAAAATCAAGGAAGTATACCAGCTTCTCAGGCATATTCAGCCATCAAAAATAGAACACCGTCGTGAGGATTCTATTACATTAGCACCAGATTTGGAGGACGAAATTCTTCAGACAGTTGATGTACCACTCAAAATTGTCCAGGATGAAGTAAAGAACGCCCCATACATCGCATGCGAATTTAACCGCGATCTCGACAGCTACAGATCACCAATCAGCAACAAATACTTCCCAAGTTTACCAGACGGCCAGAAGCTTCCAAAGCGTCTTCGCAATATGGAAATCAAGGCTAACACAGCTTTCGGCGCTTACACACACCTTTACTACAACGGCGGCATTTGCTCTGTTTATTTCTGGGAAATCGATAAGGGAGTCTTCGGATGCGGTGTTTTCATCAAGAACGAAATCGACACAGAGCTTCGCAGTGGTGAGCACATCAAGGGCTCAATCAACTGCGCAGATACAATCGAAGTTGATGAAACCGATGAAACAGCTACATACACACTTACATCCTCTGCCATCGTTAATGTTGAACTTGATGTCGGCATTGGAACACCACTCACAATTTCTGGTTCCACATCTGACAGAAAAGTCAAGAAGGCCAAGTGGGGCAATGATAATGACCACATCGTTAACATCGGCCAGCTCGTCGAATCTAACTCTGCCAACTTTAAGGACACAATCGACGGAATCTTCGTTGGCAAGATGAAGCAGATCATGGATCTCCTCGCTAACAACGACGGCCGTGCTCAACAGGCAGCTATGGCTGAGGCTTTCGCTGCTCAGGCTCGTGCTCGTGGCCTTAAATAATTTCATTCTTTTCTTTTTTTTTTTGAAATACTTCATCGTTATAAATTGCACTGATGAACATCTATTTCTAAATATCTCTGCATCAAAATAATCCATCAACTCTCTTTTCTCTTCCTCCATAAACCAAATATTGAATAAATAACATAAAATCTGCTTATCACCAATCTAGAAATACTTCAAACATACTAGTCCCTGCACAAAATCAAAGTAATTATAGATATATGAGTAAACATAAGATATTCAATTATTTCTAAAATTGTATTCATGTAAACTAAGTACGATAAACTATTTGTTGTGTGACACTTAATTCGTTTTCAAGTGAAATCAAGTCAATAATGAGATTGATAATTTTGATTATTTTGTTGTTCGAGATTATTTGATATATAATTGATTCCTTATAAGTTTATCTCTTTAGTTACTCCTTAGTCTTTTCATTTTTTTATATTGAATGTCTTTGATATTAGCAAATACTTATCAGATAGAGCAAATAGTTAATACAAAGACAAATTTTTATATTAAAAACGATATTCTTTGGGCTATATCAACTGTTGGACATCCGATTCTGATAAATTTCCGCGATTCTCAAAATCTTCAAACTCATTTATTCTCCGAAGTTGGTGACTGCAAGAAAATCGACATTGATTCGTCAGGTAGATACTGTTGCGCAGTTTCTAAAGAAGGAGTTTTTGTTTTAGATTCTCGTTCTTTAGTAGCAAGCAAAATTTCATCAGATTCTACTCTCCCTGCGACATGTTGGGCTTTACCATCAAGTTATCAAGCGCCATATATCTTTTTAGCATATAATTCCGGTATTTTTGCATATTTTTCAATTGATTCTAGAGATGATCAGCAATTATTGCAATTTACAGATAGATACGCAAAAAGTGGCAAGCGAGATCAAATCATTCACTCTATTCATATCTCACATCTTAATGGCGACAAATTTTTATTACAAATGGTGTCGAAGATGAAGATTCCAAACGCAAATTACACATATTATCCATATATATTACTTTTCAATCCACAAGAAGGCAAGTTTACCATAGATGTCAGTCAAAAGATGGAGTTTAATGCTCCATTATCACCAGAACTCAGACAAGTGAACGTAGATTACTTTACAGCAGTTACATCGAAATCGAATACATACAACACGTTTTTCTTTTACATTGATCCTAACTCTACACTTAACAAGAACAACATGAAACCAATCCAAGATCTTATTGTTAGTGATAGTGAACTTCTTCAAATCCAAAATGTGAAAGATTACATCTTTATTCAGACCAAAAACACCGTTTCCATTTATCACAAACAGAGTCATCAAGAACCAGTTTGTCAGATTGCATCCATTACACTGGATCCAGAAGACATCTTCTGTGTTGATCCAGTCACATGTCATTTTTATGTTATCAACGAGAACGGCTTCAAACGCTACAAATTCAACGAAGAGTATGAAGGCATCCAAGGTTTTTTTGTATGGATCTTCAATGCTACTAACAACGAAACATACTTGACAACAGAGAACTTCACACCTACTATGCTTTTATACATTGCTAAGTCAGACATGCAACGAATCAAACTATTAACTAAATACATTGAAACTAAAGACACATCACAACGTCTTAAACTTTTATTGTCCCACCAAGCATTGATCTTATACATCCAATACTTGTGTGAAAACAACACTCCTAAAGAACTTGATTTGTTCACCGAATGGTCACAAAGTATGATTGACCAGAACTTCCTTAGTGCTAAAACGATCGAAACACGTACATCTACATTTGGCTTACAAGTCAATATCCACGATGTTCGTACCAAAACTACTATGTTTGAGTGTGCACTTGAGAAAGGCGACATTGATGAAGCAGTCAAGATCCTTGAGAATGTTCCACGCGACGACTTCGCCACATGTGCTCTTCGAATTGCAGACAAGCGAATGGAAGATGTTGTTCGTGTCACATTCCAACGCAAACTTCTTGACCAGAAAGAACTTATTCCAGTTCTTATGAGCGAACACGCTGTCCAGTATCTTCCAGTTTTCCTTGAGCGAAACATCATCAAAGAGAACTGGCAATCCATGATCTTCAGCATCCAAATCACTAAATGCAAGAGTGAAGATAAGATCCGAATGTCTAAGAAATTCATTGACATTTTGAAAGACAAAGACACTAACAAAGATCAATGGTACAACTTCGCCGTTCGTTACTGGATTCAGTCACATGAATACGAACTTGCATCAGATGCAATGTTCTCGCGTGGTGACATCCGTGGTGCTGCTATTGCAGATGCAGATGCATCATTGAATGCTGTTCTTTCAACTAAAGACATCTCTAAACGTCGAAGTCTTGCAAGTGATTTATTACGTAGTTTACCACCGGAATACAGTTCTAATAAAGCACGCGATATCCTTGAAAACAAGACACAAGACATTGGATTAGACACATTGTTACGCTTCATTCCAGACGAAACATATGTTAAACTATTAGTTAAACCTACTGACGAATTCTTGAACGAGATGGACGAAAAGATCAGTTTCGACCACAAAGAACGTGTTACAGCGCAGAAAGGTATCGAAAATGCACACAACAAACTTCAGAAAGAGAAAGAATCACGAGACAAATTTGTCATGGCTGCATCAGCTAAATGCAACATTTGTTGGGATTCACTTTTCAAAGGTCGTTGTGTTATTTTTAAGTGTGGTCACACATTCCACATTGAATGTTTGAAGAAACACTTGTCATCACTCGGTGTTACGGAAACATTTGATCCCACATCATGTTGTGCATTTTGTTCATTCCCTGCTCCATCTACAGTTGACGAAAATATCTTAGATGACGAAACAGAATGGGTTATTTCATCCGACGAAAGCAAGAAAACGCTCACCAAATCTGCATTATCCGATTTTAGTGTTATCAAAGGATTTTTCGGAAAATAAACAAATTAATAAATATCTATTTATTTTATAAAGATCATTTTTATTTTTCAATTACAACATCATAAAAGGTATGATTAATTCTCATTATGAATAAACAATTCTGATATGTGAATAGGAAGCGTTTGTTTTTGGTTATACACACCTTAAATGTCATACAATATGTATATTTTAAAAAAGTTTCTTAAGATGAATAATGTTTATGAATATTAATAAAGAAACTAATGAGATGGAAAATTCTATTCTCATAACAAATATTGATATGTATAGTTTTAGGAGCGAATGTTGGAAAGGAGATGTTTTCAATAGAGATGTATTGAAGAACATCAATTGTTGTTTGATCTGAAAATTTAGTTGTGTTATCAAAACAAACATGAACTGACTTTTCTCCAAAAAAATATTTACAGTTATCTGATAAAACTGTTTGACTTGTAATATATAAATTACTTTCATATGGAAATACCTCAGAAAATCCACATTCAGAATCATCATTTAAAATAAGCCTACAAGGAACAAAGATATTCATTTTGTGTTGAAAATAAATATTGAAACATGATATGAATGTATTTAAATTATTGAAAATAGTAACATTGACTAATCTTTCACAACCATCAAATGCTGATTGGCCAACAAATTCTATATTACCTTGGAAAATGATTTCTGTTAATGATTCGCAGTCATAAAATGCCCCATATCCAATATATGTTAAACTTCCTAGGATTGTGATATTTGTTAATGATGTACAAGATTCAAATGCATATTCTCCAATAGATGTTACACTTTCTGGAATTGTGATATTTGTTAATGAATGACAGTCAGCAAATACACTATTTCCAATAGATGTTACACTTTCTGGAATTATGATATTTGTTAATGATGTGCAATAAGAAAATGCATAATTTTCAATCCATGAAATATGGCTATGAAGTTGAATGGATGTAATATTCACATTCTCGAAGCACCAGCTGGAAATATTTGTAACATAACTAGGAACAATATATTCACCGGAATATGTTGGAACAACTCTAAATAATGTTGAATTATCTGTTCCTGTAAATACAGATTTAGAATCACTTTTATAACATTTATTTTCTGGATCAACTGTTATGTTTTCCAAACAAAAACAATAACTAAATACATCAGACGATATTTCATCTATTTATTTTCTGGATCAACTGTTATGTTTTCTAAAGATTTACAACCACTAAATACTCGAGGGGAAATATCATTTACGAATTTTGGAATGAAAAAAGTTAAAAAAATTGTCCCAAAAAAGCAATCTGAATCTAATTTTTTTAATTTAGAATTTTTTGAAATCTTTATAGTTGTTAAACCACAATAACAAAATGCCCAATCACAAATAGTTTCTACAGAATCTGGTAAATCTACTGATGTTAAAGCATTAAAATAAAAGCAAAAACTTCCTATACTTGAAATATTTGGAGGAAGTAAAACTGATTTCAATCTTCTACAATCACGAAAGACTGTTCCATTTAGCAATGTAAGATGATTGCAATTACTGAGATCGGCTGATTCTATATTTGTTTTAGAAAAGCTATAATTACTAATACTCATAATTTTATTATCTTCTTCAAATTTAATTGATGTGATTGTTTCTCTACAATTCTTGAAGGCATAATTATATTCACCTTCACTATATATTTCTTTGACAGTTCGAGGAATAACAATTTCACTAATTAATCCCGCTGAACAACCAATAAGAACTTCTTCACTTTCATCTCTGTAATCAAATGGTTCAAAACTAGTACTTTGATAAAGAATAAAGAAAATCATGTTTAAATAATATTATTGTCTTTTGATTTTTATATAAAATAGAAAGATTTGATCTGTAAATTTGCGAAAAGATGAAATCTTGAATAAAAAATGTATCTCTAAGTAATGAAATGCCGAATATTATATTAAATAATAGGAAATTTGGTAAATTGATCAGTAAATTCATTGAAAAATTAACTAATAAAAAATTTGAATATTGATGAGCAATTGTATCAAAGAGAATCAAAATACATTATGATTTGTGATTATGGTGTTGTGAATTTCGATATGTGCTTCGTTTCTAAAATGAAATTCAAAACTAATAAATGGTAAAGCTATTTTAATTAGCCAAAGTACCGCATTAAATTGTTTTCAGCCATTTAAAAGATTATATTATTGTTGATGAACGTTTGGATTTACGAAATAGAAGTTGAATGGATAAGAATGTCGTTGAATTTGCTTTCAAGTTGTTTCTTTTTGAGTGTAGATCAAATATTAGTCAGTGATACACTCTTATCGATAATATTTGCAAACTTGAATCAGCTATCATAAAAAATGAAATAGTTGCAGGCGCTGCACACCACAAATTATAATCCAAAAATTTTTTTTTCAGTGGTAAATTTTTCTTACTAAAAAAAATAATGACATCTCAGACTTCACTTTCTCGTTTAATTCAATTAGTTGAAGAGCAAAAACTTGATGCAATTAATGGAACAGTTCATGTATGGGCTGATCCAAGTTCTCAACAACAAGTTCGCCAAGCAACAACCAAAATCGGATCAATAATTCATGATCCTTCATATTTCACTATTCATAAAATAGTACCAAATAGACCTCAAAATGACATTGCTCAAGAGATGGCACAGTGTTTTCCAAGAATAATTGTTTGTGCTTTATGTAATACTCAATATGAGGATCCAAGAAGGTGGGTAAATGAAGTCTATCCAACGTATATAGACAAAATCCCATATGCTGAATTTTACTGGTGCAATGTTCAAATTGCAAATGAAATTGAAAGGGAATTTTTAGATAAAAATCAGATTCTTGCAAATCCTACTGTTGTTGTATTCAAAATGGGCCATCTTATCGATAAATTTGTCCCTTCTATCTACGAAGCTGCCCAGGAAGTTGTTGAACTTACAAATCCATTGTTACCTTCAGAAGGACCGAAGAGAGACCTCGGAGATGTTCTTGCTAAGACATCAGCAGGCTATGATCCAGGTCGCGCAGCATTTGAAGAAAGAGAATATAAGAAGAAAGTTGCTGAAGAGCAAAACAAGAGAATACAAGAGCTCTTAGAGAGAAAGTGTATAAAGGAAAAGATTGCTGCACAAAGAACAACAATCCTCCCAATATAATAATGTTTAAAAAAATTTTTATAAATTACATATTTCTTTTAAAAATTCGGATGTGTATGATCACAAAAGATATAGATGCAACTTATTTTCAGTAATTTGTTTTAAAAAATTTAAATCAGGAAATTTCCTTTGTGTTCTTAAAATTTTGGGTACATTATTAGAGAAAATATAATTGTTATGATTCGCCCAATCTATGGAAGAAGTAAAACTAAATCTTTGTCTTGGATTTCAATTGAATAGTTTACATAGATTTATGGCAACAAGAATCAAGAAACAGATCCCAAAGAATCTTCTTGATCTTCTTTCTGCTGGTATTTCAAGCAATCATAGATCCTTTTTAATTATTGTTGGTCCTCACGGCACAGATCGCATTCCAACAATAAATACTTTATTACAGAAGAAGATGTCAACAAATTCCAAAGTTCTTTGGTGTTACCACAAAGAACTTCACATTTCATCGAATCGTGAAAAAAGAAATCGTCAACTCAAGCAAAAAACACAAAATGGAACATTAAATGAAGATTTAGCAACAGAACTTGATCTTTTCTTTGCAAATTCAAAGCAAGTTACATTCGCTAAGTATTCTGAGTCCCATCGTGTCCTCGGCCAGACATTCAACATACTTGTTCTTCAAGATTTTTCATCTCTTACACCAAACATTCTCGCAAGAACAGTAGAAACAGTCTCAGGTGGTGGCCTCATCGTATTACTTCTTGATGACATGCAATCTCTCAATGATTTATACACAATTACAATGGACTATCAACGCGGCATGAATCGTGATGCTTTTGGCAAGGTTGCATCACGTTTCAACGCTAGATTCCATAACAGCCTCAAATCATGCAAGAATTGTATTGCAATGACTGATGAATTTGATATTCTCGATTCTGTTACTCCAAACTTCGAACCAGACTCAACAATTAGCGAGGATGCCGATCTTAAAGAAATATTGGCCCAATACTCTAAGGATATCGAATCAGTTAACGAACGTCTCGAAGAAATTACAGATGAGAAGCAAAAGAAGCAAGTTGAACACGAAAGAGATGAAAAGCAACAGATATTATCTATTGTCGAGAAAGCTCTTACAGCAGATCAAGCTAAAACTGTCGGAAAAGTTATTGATTCAATCAAAGACCGCCAACTTGGAAAAGTCATCGGTATTACAGCCGCTCGTGGTCGTGGCAAGTCAGCCGCCATCGGGCTTTCGCTTGCTGCAGCTCTTGCTTTAGGATATTCCAACATTTTCGTTACAGCTCCAAGTATAGCCAACTTAACGGCACTTTTTGAATTTGTCATTGTTGGTCTTACAGCTCTTGGCTTCAGAGAAGGTGAATCCGAAGATTTCGAGGTTGTCAAGTCAAATCCAACTTCCTCCAAGGAAAGACCATACGTTACCCGCGTAAACGTTCATTTATCGCATGGTCGTCGCCAGACAGTCCAATATGTCCGACCAAATATGACACAATACCTTGGCCAATGTGAAATTTTGGCGATTGATGAAGCTGCGGCCATTCCATTACCAATTGTCCGCCAATTAATGGGTCCATACACCACATTGTTCTCATCCACGGTCGATGGCTACGAAGGAACAGGAAGAGCGTTATCTTTGAAGTTATTCAAGGAATTCCAGAGAACGATGAAGTCCAGATTCACTCAGACAACACTTACAAAGCCAATTAGATACGCAGAAGGCGATCCAATTGAAGCTTGGCTGCATAATTTATTATTACTTGACGTACATCCACAGGAATGCAGTTTAATCCCCGCATTATCGGACACAGAATTATTCCTCATCAACAGAGATGCTCTTTTCAACGGTAGCCGTGGAAGTGAAGAATTACTTCGCGCATTAGTTTCTCTTTCAGTGGAAAGCCATTACAAGAACACTCCAAATGACTTGACATTGATGGCCGACTCTCCGAACCACAGAATTTTCGCTTTAATCAACATGAAAACTGTTACAGGAAAAGGAATCCCAGAAATCATCGCTTTCGTTCAAGTAGCTCTTGAAGGAAAGATCGGCGATGAACAATTCTCTAACGCGGAGAACGGAAAAGGCCGTAGAGATGGAGATCTCATTCCATGGAATATCGCTCGTGCCTTTGAAGAGCCAGAATTTGCACAGTTGACAGGCGTAAGGATTGTAAGAATCGCTGTTAACCCAGAAATGCAAAAGAAAGGCTATGGTTCGGTTGCAATTGAAAAACTTGTCCAATACTACTCCGGCCATGAAGTTGTGGACACAAAAATTAAACCAAATGCCAAGACCCTCATGTATCCACTCACAGCGATCGCTCCTGAGCCAGTTGATTACATGGGTGTCTCATTTGGTCTGACAAGAGACTTGGCCCACTTCTGGAGGAAGGGAGGATTCGTTCCTCTTTACGTTTCCCGCGAAACAAACGAAGTTACCGGTGAACATTCCGTAATTGTTATCAGACCAATCGGAGAAACGGAATGGCTGCCAAAATTCACGACAGAATTCAAGTCCAACGTTTACAGATTGTTGCCAACCATCTTCAGAGACGTAACTCCGTTCGTCATCGAAGAAATTATGTTCCCACCTCCTCCATCAGAAAAGGATTCAGATGGTCGTGCAAGATTGACAGATATCGATGTAAAGAAACTCTCCAGATGGTCGGGAGATGGAATTGGAGCCGTCAAACACTTACTTGAATCTGTTTGCGACTTTATCTTCGTAGACAACCCTCCAATCAAGCTCACAAGGACAGAAATGTTCGCTCTCCTCATCATGGGCAAACAGATGGCCGATGAAGAAGAATGCGCAAAAAGATTGGAAATTCAAGTAAACCAGGTCGTTGCTTTGCTCAAATCTGCTATCGGAAAGATCTCAAGATACTTGAACAAGCAACGTGGAGAAACAGACTCCAGTATGAATAGTAAAATTATAGAGAAAGATTAGAAATAAAGATTCTTATATATTATTATCTTATTTGAACCAAACTAATTGTTTTTATATCCTAAAAAAACATAAATTTCGAAATTCAAAAAATAATTTGCTCAAATAAGCATATTTCAATGGTAATAACACTTCACAAGAGCTGTATTAAAGAATTTGTTAAACCAAGTCATATCATAGTATATATATGACAAATGAAAAAGAAAATATCGTAAAATATTTATGATATCGGCGATACTCGAGAATAATTGTTAATAAGAATTATAATTTTAAGTCAATATTTTGTAAAAATAATTTTTGTAAAAATAATTTTGAGTTTTATTATTTCTAATGAAAATCATCTTTGAAAATATCAGAAAAAGAATATTATGTTTTTGCACCATGTGAAATAAGAAGTTCGGCTATTTCTTTACTGTTTTCCAATTCTGCATAATGAAGAGCGGTTTCTCCGTTTTCATCTTTTTCATTGATATTTACACCATGTGAAATAAGAAGTTCGGCTGTTTCTTTACTATTACAGAGTGTTGCAATGTGAAGAGTGGTTTTTCCGTTATTATTTTTTTCATTGATATTTATACCATGTGAAATAAGAAGTTCGGCTGTTTCTTTACTATTACAGAGTGTTGCAATGTGAAGAGTGGTTTTTCCGTTATTATTTTTTTCATTGATATTTGCACCATGTAAAATAAGAAGTTCGGTCACTTCTTTATTATTATTTTCTGCTGCTATATGAAGAGCGGTTTGTCCATTATTATCTTTTTCATTGATATTCGCACCATGTGAAATAAGAAGTTTGACAATTTCTTTACTGTTTTCACATGCTGCTGTAAAAAGAGCGGTTTCTCCAAATTTATTTTTTCCATTGATATTCGCACCATGTGATAAGAAATATTCGCAAATAGATGGACTATTAAACGTTGGAGAATAAACTAAGCAATTGTTAATATCATTAGTTTGATCAAAATAAGCAAAAAATGATTCAAAATTCTTATATGTTGCACAACTTGATAAATCAATCTCCATATTATACTCATTCATCAAGAATGTAACAAAATCAATGTTGTGTGAAATAATTGCATATTGCATGCACCAATAATCTGGTATTTGATATTTCAAACATTCACTCATGATTTCTTGATTTCCGCCTAAAAATGAAAATCTCAGACATTTTTGAGTTATTTCTGACTGAAATTTAGATCTTAATAACTTGAAACAATCAGCTGCTCCGTGGTAACAACATAATTCAAGTAATGAATATCCTCCATTATAATATGGATAAAAACTGCTTTGAAGTTTTTGATCTTGATCAAATCCATCGATTTTAGTGAATTGGATGAATCTTTCAAGAGCATTGTACATAATTGCTCTGTAAATTGTATTTTCTGTATGAATATCGAGATTTTCTGATTTAATTTTTTCAAAATTAGAAGACTTGTCTAATTTAATTCCATATTCTTTGTAAAACAGGAAGGTTAAAATAGGTTCAACATTACAGACCTCTTCCACATGATAATCATCAGATATGAGTTTGACAAGAGATAAATATGACTTTGTATAGCGATTATTATACAGAATGATATATAATATGTCTCGCATAATTATTTGGGGATGATATTTATTTGAATCAATCAATTCTGTTTTGAATTGATATATAGATATCTTCCAAACTCATTAGAAGAAACAAATATTGTGATATGTGTGAACATTATTTAAGATAATAGGTATGAAATGACACAATAACAATAGAAAAATTGAAATCAATAACAATTGTAACATCCAGATGATATTCAAACAAAATTATACAAGGCTGTTAAAGGAAATCATTATTATTTCGGAAATATTTTGACTCCACGGATTTGGTAGCATTTATATGTACAGAAAATATATATCGCTAAGTCAGGGCTTCAAATTCTAGCTAGTTTAGATATATGGTGTCTATAGCATTTTATCGATCTTTTTTTTAATCAAGAATAAATGATGACTATGGATATTTAGTCCTATCAATTGTCATACATTTCATATAGACTTTATTTGGTTGCATAAGATGCAATCAGAGTTAAAAAAAGAGGACTCAAGAGAGGGAATTAGAGCCTGTGAATCACTTGCCCAAGCAAGAACTTTAGTGTCTATACAAAATACTGGTTCTTGCTTTTTTTTTATTGACAATATTCAAAAAAAATTGTTTTGTAAAATTTCTCTACACGGAAAATTCATTTTTTGAAAATTTGATTAGTATTGGTATAGCAAACCAGAATTCTCCAATAGTAAATTAATAACGAATAATATTTTTATTTATGTCAAAATCTGAGAACATCAAAGTTGTTGTCAGATGTAGACCAATATCTAAAAAGGAAGTTGACAAGGGCTTCAAACCCATTGTTAAAATCGACAATACAAACAACATGGTCGCTCTTACGCATGGAGATGATGATCCTGATCCAAAGTCATTCACATTCAACTCAGCCTACGCGTGGGATTGTACTCAACAAGACATTTACGATGATGCAGGCAGACCTATTGTTCAAGCTGTGCTTGATGGCTATAATGGAACAATTCTTGCTTATGGACAAACAGGTACAGGAAAAACATATACAATGGAAGGCGTTGTAGATAATGAAGAACACAAAGGTGTCATTTTGCACGCATTCGATCATATTTTCGCACACATCGCAAAAGTCAAAGACAGAGAGTTCTTAGTACGTGCATCTTTCCTTCAAATTTATATGGAAGATGTTTTCGATCTTCTTGGAGATCCTAAAAAGAAACTACACGTCCGTTCTTTGGAAAATGATATTTGCGTCGTTGGTCTTTCAAGCCACATCGTTAAAACACCACAAGAAATTACAGAATTACTTATGCGCGGTAAAGATAACCGTGCTGTCGCTGCTACAGCCATGAATGCCCAAAGTTCAAGATCTCATTCAGTTTTTACCGTCGTTATCGAGCAGAGTGGCGAAGAATGTGGTACGAAAATGGGTAAATTACACTTGGTTGACCTCGCCGGCTCAGAAAGACTTTCAAAAACAGAAGCCACAGGTCAACAAGCGAAAGAAGGTGCCAAAATCAACCAATCTCTACTTTCTCTTGGTAACGTTATCTCAGCTCTTGTTGCTGGTGCAAAGCATATTGCTTACAGAGACTCAAAACTCACTCAATTATTACAAGATTCTCTTGGTGGAAATGCCAAGACAGTTATGATCGCAACTCTTGGTCCAGCTTCATATAACTACGATGAAACACTCAGTACATTGTTATACGCCACAAGAGCCAGACAGATTAAAAATGCTCCAAGAGTTAATGAAGATCCAAAGGATGCTTTACTTGGCCAATTAAGACAGAAGATTGCAGAGCTCAAGAAACAGCTTGAGATGCAAAATGCAGCAGCCGCAGCCAGTGGATTAGTTGTTCCAACGACAGACAATGGATTTCTCAAAGAAATAGAAGAGAAACACAAGAGACAAATGGAAGAATTGATGCAATCAAAGAACATAAATGAAGAAGAGAAAGCCAAAGCGAAAGCAGCTTTAGATGCAGAGTATCAACGCGAGAGATCGATACAAGCAGAAAGTAAAGACCTTGAAGAGAAAATCAAGCAGATGGAACAGTCTGTTTTGGTTGGCGGTGTAAATCTTTTGGATAAAGAGAAGCAACAAATGGAAGAAATCAGGGCAAATGAGTCTAAGATCAGAGAGAAACAGAAGGAACAAGAACTCTTGGAAGAAAAGAAGAAAGAACAAGAAGAAGCCATTTTAGTTGCAGAAAAGAAATATGGATCATTGAAAGAAGAATTACAAGAGAAATCAAAGAAAATAGAGAAATTGAAGCCTCTCATTCGAAGATTGCAAGATAACATCGATGATCTTCAGACACAATTCGAAAATGAGAAGGCTGATCAAATAGAAAACATAAAGAGAATGAACAAAGAACTTGGATTACTTGAATTAATCACAAATTCGTTCATTCCACCTGAAGATTTGAAGAAAATTCAGGATTATTCAACTTACGATGTTGAAAACAAGAAGTGGATGATACCAAGTATCGACAAGGCAGGAAGACACCAGAAAGTCGAAGAAGTCATTGAAGAGAAGGTCTTCATTGCAGGTACAAATGGTCCAACTGCTTTGTTCAGTAGAACAAGATTGGATAATTATGTTCCATCAAGAAGTGAAGCTGAAAAGGCAAAGCTGAGAAGGAAACATGCTGTACAACATGCTCTTAACGAATTCGCTTTGATATCTGATCTCAGTTAGCAAAAGTAATTTTAGATTTTTAATGTAATTGGAGATCCATTATTTATTATAACTTTTAATGTTTGTTTATAGAATTAGATTTTATATTTTAAACAGGTTATTTTTACTACTATATTTATTATAAATGCCCTTTTTATTACCTGCAATCTATGTCTGTTATTTATATTCGGTTTAGTTATAGACTACATTTATGCTGAAAAAAAGTATGCTGTTATTTGGGAACTCTTTTGCTAATGAAAAAGAATTATTTTATAATGGTAATAAAGGCAGTAATACTGTTATAGGAAAGTAGGGTTCTATTATATGTTTTATAATGGTAATGAAGGCAGTAATACTGTTTATAATTATAAATGTTACCCCTTATATCTTTAATATATTAAAAAATAGGGCTCTCTAATGTAATTTGAAATGAATGATTTTAACATATTTTAGCCCTTTACCCTTAGCTTAAGATCTTAAGATCTTTTTGGCAATATGATAATTTTATTGAGTTATTTTACCATAATGCAGTTTAAAGTTATACTTGTCAACGATTGTTTTAAATGGATATGAAACGAGAAATCAATAATTCAATAATTTCAGACTTTTAGCAAAGTTCAAATTTCGGTTTAAAAAATCGAAATTCTTGATTACCAATACTAGTACATTTTAATCCAAAATTCATCAAAACTCTTTGAATGTAGAGTGTCCGAATTTCCTCTCAATTACAGAAATTTTTGTGTTACATACTGCATAAGCGTAATACACCACTTTTACATTACAATATATTTCTTTGAAAAAAATGACGATATGATTTGGCTCCATAGCTCTCAATTTCAATATGACGAAAGACACTCGCGCCACCGCAGAAGATCTTGAAGTTTCTGGTTTCTTCTGGGTTCCATCATTCGAAATCTATGGCTCTGTTGCAGGCATTTACGATCTTGGCCCAACAGGCTGCGCAATCGAACGCAACTTCCTCCAGAAGTGGAGAGATCATTTCGTTCTTGAAGACGACATGCTCGAAGTTCGCTGCTCCGCTCTTACCCCACGTCCAGTCTTAGATGCATCTGGCCACACAGAAAAATTCAATGATCTCATGCTCACAGACATGACAACAAAGGCACTTTACAGAGCTGATCAGTACATCGCTGCTTACCTTAAGGAGCGTGCTGAGAAGGAAACAGACCACGACAAGAAGAAGCAGTACGAGAAGGATGCCGAAGATGTCGATGGCATGACAAAGGAGCAGATGATGGCTCTCATGGCCAAGTACAACATCAAGTCTCCAGAAGGCAACGAGTTCTCTGAACCAGCCCCATTCAACCTTATGTTCAATACACGTGTTGGTCCAGGCGCCCGCTCCATCGAGGCATTCCTCCGCCCAGAAACAGCTCAGGGCATCTTCGTTAACTTCACACGTCTCCTCAATGCCAACCGCGGATCTCTTCCATTCGCTGCTGCCCAAGTCGGCGCTGGTTACCGTAACGAAATTTCCCCACGTAACGGTCTTGTCCGCTGCCGTGAATTCCAGATGGCCGAAATCGAGCACTTTGCTGATCCAGAGCAGCTCAACAACTTCCCTAAGTTCGAGACAGTCAAGAACCTCAAGGTCAAGCTCTTCCCAGCCAGTATCCAGGAATTAGAAGACGAAGAAAAGCGTATCCCAATCGAGATCACCCTCGAAGACGCTATCGCACAGCACGTCGTTTCCCACAAGACACTCGGCTACTACATTGGCCGTGTCTACTTATTCCTCTGCGAAATCGGTATCCAACCAGATACAATTCGCTTCCGTATGCACCGCAAGAACGAAATGGCCCACTACGCTCGCGAATGCTGGGATGCCGAAATCTACACAAAGACACTCGGCTGGCTCGAGTGCGTCGGCATTGCTGACCGCCAATCATGGGATCTTTCTCGCCATGCTAAGTACACAACAAAGAAGGGCGATGCTGAATCATCACCACTCTACCTTTCCGCTCCACTCGATACACCAATCCACCAGACAAAGGTTGAAGGCGAAAAGTCCGCAATCGGCAAGATCTTCCGCAAGGATGCCAAGGAGATCATGGATGCCCTCGCAACCATCCCAGCCGACCAGGTCGAAGCCCTCCGTGTCAAGGTTGCTGAAGCTGAGAAGCTCTTCGGTGCTGAGAAGCCAGCCAAGAAGAACATCGCCAAGGCCATCGCAGCCCTTTCTGCTGAAGACAAGAAGAAGTTCGAGGAACTCACAAACATCACAGTTTGCGGAGACAAGACAGTTACATACGAAATGTACAACATCAACGATACAGTTGTTACAACACGTAAGTTCTTCCCGAACGTTATCGAGCCATCGTTCGGTGTCGGCAGAATCATGACATGCCTCTTCGAACAGGCATTTTATGTCCGCGAAGATGGCGAACGCCGTGTTCTCAGATTGAAGCCATTCATGGCACCATACAAGGTTAACCTCATCCCAATCAACAAGAAGAACGCTAAGGATGAAGATATCCACAACATCCGTACAAACCTCCGCAAGAAAGGTCTCGCTAATACAATCGATGCTGCTGGTGTCTCAATCGGTAAGCGCTACGCTCGTTCTGATGAAATCGGTACCCCATTCTGCATCACAATGGATGACGTCACAAACGAGGACGGAACAGTCACACTTAGAGAGCGTGACTCAACAAAGCAGGTCCGTGGAAAGCTCGAACAGATCATCAACGCTATCTGCGAAATGGTCGACGGAAAGTCTTGGGAAGACGCTACAAAGGGCTACGAAACAGTCACACGCCCAGAAAACTAAATTAACAGATTCCTTATCATAAAGATTTTTAATTTTCTCCTTTTTAATTTTTATTAAATATTTTTATGATTATTTTGCTATTTAATATATGACTCCGTATGAACATCTCAAAGTAATAATGAATTGTTGCTCTGAGTCAAATAACATAACTCAATATTATGGCAGTCCCAACGGGAACCGCGGTAATTTACCGAGTTTTCCGCACACCGGTTCCTTTTTTTAGGAATTTTTTAGATTAAAAAATATGCTTTGTAAATCATTTTTTGTAAATCGGCAAAAATTTGGAAATATTCTGACGACAATAAATCTGGGAATAGTATTTTAAATACGAGAACAACCTATTTAAAAGTGTTTCGCTCGATTTTGTATAATTTCAAATTTTCGCATATAGCTTTCCGTGAATTACCGTGATTTTACCGCCACATCAATAGTTTACGACACTTTTCCCGTAAAATTGAGTTACGGGAATCCGTAAGATTACCGTACCTCACTTCTAGTTGAAAATAGCATTAGTATATAATAAATAGATATATTATTCATATTTTTGATTTTGAATTACGGAAAAAGTGAGTTCAGAACTTCCAATTATTATTTGATTAATTATGTTAAAAATACTATAAGGAATTAAAATACATAATGTTGAAATTTGAATTACGGAAAAAGTGAGGGTGAAAGTGAAGTGAAAAACTAAGATATTTTTTATTGAAATAATCATAGTTGTACAATTTTGAAACTATATGTAAAGCTATAAATTGAATAAATTCAAAAACAAAAATTGTTTATTCTTATTAATAAATTTATATTAATCAATATTTGAACAACCCGTAATTAAAATTGAATTCCAAAAAAAAAAAAAAAAAAAAAAAAAAAAAGGGAAGTGGGGCTTCCAGGCACTTCGTGCCTTCTAGCCCTGAGGATGTTTTGTCAAGACTTCTTCTTCGTAAATGTTTTGTCAAGACTTCTTCTTCGTAAATGTTTTGTCAAGACTTCTTCTTCGTAAATGTTTTGTTGAGACTTCTTCATCGTCAATGAGTGTAAATCAGGCAAAAATATATTTTAGGGTAGAAGGGTATATCTAACCTCTTTTCTAACCTCTTTTCTACCCTCTTGAATTTGTCAAGACTTCTTCTTCGTAAATGTTTTGTCAAGACTTCTTCTTCGTAAATGTTTTGTCAAGACTTCTTCTTCGTAAATGTTTTGTCAAGACTTCTTCTTCGTAAATGTTTTGTCAAGACTTCTTCTTCGTAAATGTTTTGTCAAGACTTCTTCTTCGTAAATGTTTTGTCAAGACTTCTTCTTCGTAAATGTTTTGTCAAGACTTCTTCTTCGTAAATGTTTTGTCAAGACTTCTTCGTAATGAGTGTAAATGACCAAAAATATAATTTAGGGTAGAAGGTTATATCTAACCTCTTTTCTAACCTCTTTTCTACCCTCTTGAATTTGTCAAGACTTCTTCGTAAAATGTTTTGTCAAGACTTCTTCTTCGTAAATGTTTTGTCAAGACTTCTTCTTCGTAAATGTTTTGTTGAGACTTCTTCATCGTCAATGAGTGTAAATCAGGCAAAAATATATTTTAGGGTAGAAGGGTATATCTAACCTCTTTTCTAACCTCTTTTCTACCCTCTTGAATTTTCATGAAATTTACACCAAAAATATATTTTAGGGTAGAAGGGTATATCTAACCTCTTTTCTACCCTCTTGAATTTTCATGAAATTTACACCAAAAATATACTACTAGGGTCATTTACGAAGAAATCTCAACAAAGTCTTTACGAAGAAGTCTTAACAAAGTCTTTACGAAGAAATTCATGAAAATTCAAGAGGGTAGAAATGAGGTTAGAAAAGAGGTTAGATATACCCTTCTACCCTAAAATATATTTTTGGGTCATTTACACTCATTTACGAAGAAATCTCAACAAAGTCTTTACGAAGAAGTCTTAACAAAGTCTTTACGAAGAAGTCTCAACAAAGTCTTTACGAAGAAGTCTTAACAAAGTCTTTACGAAGAAGTCTTAACAAAGTCTTTACGAAGAAGTCTTAACAAAGTCTTTACGAAGAAATTCATGAAAATTCAAGAGGGTAGAAATGAGGTTAGAAAAGAGGTTAGATATACCCTTCTACCCTAAAATATATTTTTGGGTCATTTACACTCATTTACGAAGAAATCTCAACAAAGTCTTTACGAAGAAGTCACAATAAAACATCTGTCAAAAACCGCTTTTCTGTCACTTTTCAGGTAAAAACATTTTTATTGTATATAAAATGAATTGTACAAAACCACCGTTACCGTTCTTTGGAAATAAGAGTAGATGTAAAGATATTCTATTGAGAGAACTTAAGAAACTACCGAATGGTCTAACATTTGTAGATTTGTTCGGTGGAAGTTTCTATATATCTCATTTGTGCCATACTGTATTTCCTGACTCAAAGATTATATGCAATGACTTCGACAACTATATGAACCGTCTCAAACATATACCAGACACAAACAAAATATTGAAAGAGTTAAAAGAAAAGATACCTATAGGTAAGATGGAACGTATACCATTAGATAAGAAAAATATTGTGAGAGAGGTTTTGAAAAAAGCAGAGTATATTGACTGGGATAGTATATCTTCTAGACTATTGTATAGTGGTTCTATAAGAGTTCATGACATTGAAACACTTATGTCAAAAGTTTTATATCTTAACTATACAAATGTTTTCAAAGAGGACATAGAAAAATATACTGAGGGTATAGAGTTTGTGAGATGTCGTTGGACAGAGTTGTATGAAAAATATAAAAACAAGGAAAATGTTTTCTTTATAGTAGACCCGCCGTTCTTTAACACATACGATTTTCAATACCAAGTAGACTGGACTTTGAGAGACTCTTTAGAAACTTTAGACGTTTTACATAACCATCCATGCTTTTACTTTACATCCGATAAAAGTGGTTTGGAAACCGTTATGAGATGGTTAGAGGACATACATGACTATGAGTTTAGATACGATAAGATAGAATATGAGAGAGGTCCTATAAACCGGAAAAAGTGTCACAACAAAGAAATTTTATTGGTAAGTAAATGTGGTTTGAAATAGGACTACTTGTTTTAGGTTTTTTCCATTGTGTCATTTATTTATTTGACGTGGCAGAAAAGTACAGAGAATATGAAGATGAACCAATGCCTGCAAATGTTCAGCATATGTACTCGTAAGAGATATTTTTATCTAATATTAAATGGACGCACAGAACTTAGCGAATGCACAGCAACCTGGACAACCAAACCCAGAGAATATTCCAAATGAAGTTAGAATACAAACTGCAATGGCAAACTATGGTCAAGTGCCAACAGATGTACAAATGCAAACTGCCATGTCAAATGACGCTGCGTTAGGTTTGCCACCATGGTATGCAAATATGAGATGGAAAGAGTTTTATACAAACCCTGAAGTGGGATATAAACAACTTTATGCAGATGACGCGAACACAGGAGTTGACCCAGAATATGTTTTCTACCAGAGGAGAAACAGAATGTATGAGCTCCAGTTAAAGAATGCTATGGAACTCAACAGGAAACGTAAGAGACTAGGCGGACATTAGATTTTTACATATAGTAAAATGGGTTTCTTCAGTAAGATAGGAAACTTCTTTCGAAATGTTGGAAGAGGTATATGGAATGGAATAAAAACCGTAGGAAGAGGAATTTGGAACGGAGTCAAAAATATTGGTAAAAGAGTAGGTCAGTTTGTTGGTATTATACCTAAAGACCCTGAACCAGAAGAACAAGCTCCTGTTATACAACAGCCTGAACCTGCACCACAGTCTAGTTGGCAACCACAACCGGTATATTAAAAAATTATATTTTTACCGTTCGATAGTAGTTGTATATGAGACTAAGTTCTAAGTAAAACGCATGGTATAATGGAACTATTCTCTTTCTTCCATCTGTTGTAAACCATACTTGAAAGTCTGAAATACTTCCACTCGGTGGTTCATATAGCTTTGTAGGTTTTTCGTAAAAGTCATTTGCCAAGCATAAAAAAGAGTTTTGTGCACCAGAAAATGAAGCATGAACAATAATAGCAGCTGGGTCGAAAATATTTTCATATGTTCCATTAGGGTTTTCGACTTCATAAAAGTCTGGGTGTACTGGATATGCTGCAGGCTGATTTAACATCCTCATAAATCTATACCATGCCAAGTTGTTATATTTTGTAGAAATATAAACGTTTTCTCCAAGGTCTTCTATTTTATTGATTTTAACAGTTGCATTTTTCCTGTCATAAATAATATCGAGATGGTATTCTCCTTCGTCAATGTTATACTGGTTTGCATATTCGAGATAGATGTCGTTTATTTTTTCTTGAAAAGCTTGAAGAGTTGTTTCTAAGTTTACAAGCAAATTCACTTGTAAAAGTTTTCCCTGTTCAAATTTCTCATACATACGTTTTTCTTTGTTATAGTATCGAACTTCAAAAGCGACCGTAAATGGGAAACCATGTATGGCTTCTGAAATGAACTTCATTCTACGAAAGCCAATAGCTTTTGTGACAGATGGGTCTCTTAGCCATCTTAATGGTAGTCAAAACGATAGCCTTCATGCTTTACGGTCTCTGTCTCAAACTTTTGACCGACATTAGTAAAAAGTTCATCTAATGGTTTAGTTGTAGCAACTCTTGAATTTTCTTTTTCTATTGGAAGCATATTTTATCTAGAATAAAAATGTCGAAAGAAACAGCGTCTATGAGAGAAATACAACACAACCGACAACTCATTATACAAGCTCTAAATAAGAACACAACAAACTTTTCAAACTATTCTAAGATATCTGAGTCATTGAAAGAAGGAAACTTAAAACTGACGATAAACCCAATGACAGATGAGTTTCTGTTTCAAGACAGTAAGAACCATACTGTCTGTGTAAATCCAACAAAAGGAACTTTAAACGAGAAGCCTATAAAAGAACTTCTTTTGAAAGCAGATGTTGACAACAAAGCTGACAAAGAGTATGTCATTGAAAAAGTTCAAGAAGAACATGACAGAGCAGATGCAACATATGCAACGAAAGAACATACTCATCCTGAACTAGCAGACAAAACATATGTTGACAATAAAATGTCAAGTGAAGTGACAAGAGCTGACAAAGAATATTCTAAAAAGACTCATACACATACCATTGCAAATATTACAAACTTACAAGAAACCTTAAACAGGAAAAGTGACGTTGGACATACACATACTATATCTGAAATAACAGACTTAAACGTTAGCCTTGAAAAGAAAGCTGACAAAGAGTATGTAGATGCAACAAAAGACTATATTTTCGCATGGACAGATAGAGCATACCCACAAAAACACCATACACATAACATCTATGACGTAGATGAACTTCAAGAAAAGTTAGATGACAAGGCGGATAAAACATATGTTGACAATAAAATGTCAAGTGAAGTGACAAGAGCTGACAAAGAATATTCTAAAAAGACTCATACACATACCATTGCAAATATTACAAACTTACAAGAAACCTTAAACAAGAAAAGTGACGTTGGACATACACACGATTTCTTCGCAACTGTTGGTATAGAAAATATTGCAGGAACGGTTGAAGAACCTGATGGAACTGGTGGGGATGTATTAAATTGGAAACCTCCTAACTTTCCACAAGGTTTAACATCGGAGGATGACATAACAACGATGAAAGACATTAAATGTAGAAATGTCTATGTCATGGAGGATGAAAACAAAGTTAAATTCACTGCTCAAGATTTATATGATAAAAAAGCTGACAAAACAGAGCTTCAAACGTTAAAGACAGAAATACTTCAAACAGTATATCCTATAGGTTCTATTTATACGTCAATGAACTCTACCAAACCAGAAGTAGTACTTGGTTTTGGAACTTGGACTCAAATAGTCGACAGGTTTTTGTATTGTGCAAACTCTTCAAAGGAAACAGGTGGAAGTAAAACGATTTCAGGTGAAAATTTACCTGCACATAGTCACTACATAGATTTAAGTACATCTCAAGCAGGTTGGCATAAGCATAGATATTGGGATTGGTCAGGAATGATAAAAGGTAAAGGATATGATGTTAAAGACAACGTTAAGTTTGCTATAGATTGTTACTGGAGTAACACTGAGGGAGGAGGAAACCATACACATCGCGTTTCAGGGTATACGCAAACAACGGGACAAAGTAAAGACTATATGCCACCTTACATGACAGTTTACGCATGGTATAGAATTGCTTAGTCGTCATTTTCAACTTCTTTAGCATATTCGTCAGGAGTTGTCTTATATTTGTTAGGAACTGTCTTTGAAAGTATACCACCTTGAACCTTAACAAGTTTGAAACGAGGTCTGACAATAGTAGTTTTATCTTCTGCTTGCAGTGTGTACATTTTGCCATGTTTGCCTAAAACTTCATAATATTCTCTTGTATACTTTCTTCTATTTTTACGAACACGAATGCGAGTACCTGTCGAGTTCCCATTGTTGTCATAGTCAATAGTATTTTCATATGGGTCGCGTTTAGGTATTTCTATTTTTACTTTGTCACCTTTCTGAAGTTTGAAGCCCGGCATTCTTTCTTGTTTGTCTCTTTTGACTAAATTATTAAATATATAGTCTTTCTCTAAGTCAGGGTTGTTTTTCATTTCTTCGGGGGAGTGGTTTCCCAAACCTTTTTGTTTACGGCTATTGTAAATATTTAAAACTTGTCTCATCTTTGCCATGGAGAAGTGTCTATATTTGTCGTCATATGACATTTCATTTGCTTCACCACCTTGTGGTTGGTTTAAGTCTCTTAACATTTTTATACAACCGTCAATGACACCAAGAGCAGAATGGTTTTGGTCGACAATGAAATATTGGTTTACATTTTTTGAACGCAGATAGTTTTTAATATCATCTGATTTGAAAGAACTTTCACAGTCAGATGTTAGTTTTGTTGGATGGTATTTGTCAACGAATATTGTCAAAGCTGCTAAGATATCTAAAATATTTTTGGACTGTAATGGTATGGCTTCACAGTATCTTGTGTTTTGACCGACAAATATTAGCCAGTATGGTGGTCCATCTTCTCTATACCTCGGAATGTTTTCCAAGATATCCATAAACCAAGCATTTGGTGTTGAACTAAAGATTTTTACCATGAGTGCTTTCTTTGTCGCTTTAGAAACATAGGGGTCCTTGTTTGGATTCGTCATTTTTAACCCATAAGAAATGGGTTTATTTGGCGCATTAGCAGGAGTTGCATCTAGATTTTTACCCGCAGTGGGAACAATAGCCAGAGGTGTATTTGGAGTTGGAAGGAAGATTTTGAGTACATTAGGTATACTTAAAGAGAAAGCACAACCTATTATACAAACTGTACAGAAAGGTTGGGATGTAGCACGAGATGCAGCAAATCTTATTCCAAATCCTGAAACAAGAGGAAAAGTTCAAGGATGGATGGACAATGTAGGAAGAGAAGCAGGAAACTATTATAACAAAGCAAATGACTACTATAACCAAGCAGGACACTATATGGACCAAGGTGAAAGATTCTTTAACAGAGGATATAACCATGCACAACAATGGGTAAACAATAACCAACCCGCAACCACCTCAAACTTGGGGAATGTAAAGTTTTTTACTGAGATGAAATGAACAATACAGCATTGAGACAAATGGGTTCAAGATGGATTTGTCGACTTCCAGCAGTTACACAACGTGTTTGTCAAGTTCTTCCTATACCTCAGGAAGTTTTAGACCGACTTAAAAAACAACAACAACCAGTTGAAAACAAACCAAACTAAAATTTTTTACTGAGATGAAATGACCGAAGAAGTTGAAACGGTAGATTTGACACCACAAACAAAAAGTTCAGAACCATTGTCAAAACCTGTCAAAGAACTTACAGATGAAGAGAAAAATTCAATAATAGAAAGTGCCAGGTCTGGAAATACAAACCCTAACTATAAAGTCACTTTTCATAGAAATGGAACGGCTAGTATCTCAAAAAAGAAACAGACTCTCACAAATAAAATATTGAAGTCTGAAGGAGCTTTCGAGACAACAGATGGGAAGGTATACTTCACTGACCAACAGTTCATTATAGAACATCTCATTGACTTAGAGTCGAAATATTCTAAACTTTACAACAAACACAAAAAGTTGAAAGGAAAACAAAGACAGATGGCATATGATATTTACGAAGATGTTAACGACACAACCATACCTGCAAGTGAGGTAAAGTCAGAGGAACCGAAAAGTGACGAAAAACCGATAGAAGAAGGGAAGCCAAAAACTGAAGATAAACCAAAACCAAAGTTTAGTTTCCAAACTAAACCAAGTCAACCTTCATTAGCTGGTATGGGTTGGCGTCAAAGACTTATGGTAGCTGGTGGTTATGTTAAGTAAAGGAAAAAACATTTTTCAAAAAAAATATTTTTTTATTTTATTTGAAATGTACGCTGAGTTTGTTGGAACAGACCGTTGGGAAACTTGTTTGTTAGATGAGAAATATGAAATTCACTGTTGTGAGTCATTTGAAGTCAGAAACAAAAAGACAAAAAGAGTTTTAAGCGGATGGGAGCGAAATGACGGATATGCTAATATGAAGATGAGTGGAAAAAACTATTTTAAACATGTTGTCATTGCAACTCATTTTATACCGAACCCTAACAATTTACCTTTTGTAGACCATATAAACCATATAAGAAACGACAATAGACTTGAAAACTTGCGTTGGGTCACTTGTTCTGAAAACAATAAGAACATAGGCAAATTTCGAGATATTGTATTCGAATTTGTCGACGAACTAGAAGATGAAGCAATTGAAATTACAGACTATGGCGAGCATACGTTTGAGTTTTACTACTATAGCGAAGAACAAGACTCTTTCTACTTTTATACCGGCGTAAACTATAGGAAATTACAAGTATGTTTTACTAAGGCGGGCTATGCTCATGTAAACGCTAGAGATACAGATGGAAAATACGTTCAAATACATCTTAACAAATTCAAGAAGCTATATGGCATACCATTTTAAAATATATTTTTTTATTTTTATAAAAATGCCCCCATATAGAATGGATAGAAAGTCTGCTAGAATAAAAGCAGAGTTGCAAAGATATGGTTGGAGAGTTTCGAAGAATTTTAAATATAGGAAGGGAAGACCCATAAAAGTCTATGACAAATTGTCTGGTCTTCGCTACGAAATGGATTTGGAAACAGCACGCGCAAATTATCCAAACAGACTAGAGAGGTTAGAAGAAGAACGTCTTATGGACATGCCTTTCGATGTTTCTGAGCCGCAGGTTGAAGGACACGACGGCTTTGCCAGGTTCTACTGGAAACATAACGAACAATTGCATCCTTTGAGAAGGAAAAAAGGTAGTGCAGAGGATGGTCATGCTCCCATGGAAAGAACAAGATATGCATATGAGAAGTATCGTGAAGTTAGAAGTCAAATTACATCTGGTCGAACCTTTACAGTAAACTTTGACGAAGGAAAGAACAAAGAAGGCTTCATGGGTGTACTTGCTGCCATACAAGACGGAAATAAGAAAGGATACAATCTCAGACTAACCATAACAGATTTGGACGGTCATATATACTATGCAAATGGCAATGTCACAACAGCCGCAAAACTTCTTGACGCTTTCAAGACTACAAAGAGAGAACAAATGGTTGACTCCGACTCAGACATTTTGAATGCAATTGAAGGAATTGCAAGTGTAAAGTTCGAATGGTACCAACCTAACCCTCAAGCAGTCAGACAACATGTTTGTTAGATGAGAAATATGAAGTAAAAACGTTTACTTTTAAAACAGTATATTTTTACATATATTAAATGTTTCAGGTTGAAAAACAAAGAACAAAAGTAGCAGATACAAAACCGTTAGACTATATCTTTACAAATGCTGGTAGGAATCTTTCAGATGAAGAAATTTCATCCGGAGCTTACAGGTTCGACTATCCAATTCGTTGGCTTCAAAGTCCTTCAGAAGCAAAGGCAATAGGATTTAGAAGAGTTTTGTTTTCAAATAGAACTAACGCATTTATGTTCGCAGTATATTTTCATGGGCAGTATGAAGGTTCTGATGGTCTAATAGACAAATTTGACGAAATGAGAATCTTTACAGTTCGTTCAGACGAAAACCTTGAGAAGACTCTAAATGACTTTCAAACTCAAATAAACAAATATTATTGGGAATTGCAAGAAAAATACGACTCTTTACTAAACGGAACTTACTATCTGAAACTAGAATATGACAAGATGAACTCAACCGTTTCATTTCAAAGGATTGAAATTAACCCTCGAAGAAGTACACAGTTTTTATTTTGGGAAGTAGACAAACGTTCTTGGGCACAATTTCTTCGGTTACTAAACCAGAACGAACCATTACCACCTGACGGTCCGTTTAAATTTATACGCCCACCAACAGATTTGACAGTTTATAGAAACGTGTTCGACCCTCAAAATGTTATGTGTCATGCAAGTTTCAGTTCAAGCAACAACAGTTTTCTTTGTATCGGTAAGGACTTTTATGACCTTACCTCTAAATTCTACGAACCACCTAGTAACAGTTTCTCTGACTTTCAAGTCTGGTTCACAACAAACGGTGTGCAGCATATTATACCATTGTACTATGACTTTTATCTCGAATTGTCTTTCATATATAACTACGGAAAAGTGCTGAAAAAGTATTGAAAAATACTTTTAGGGTAGAAGGTTAGATCTAACCTCTTTTCTAACCTCTTTTCTACCCTCTTGAATTTGTCATGAAATTTATACAGAAAATGCTTGTTTTGAGGTCGAGCCACTTTTGGCTCCACCGTATTCTTTCAACCAAAACTCATGAATTCAGCAAAAATATATTTTAGGGTAGATGGGTATATCTAACCTGTTTTCTAACCTCTTTTCTACCCTCTTGAATTTTCATGAGTTTTCCCGAAATAAAAAATAAAGTTGGTTTTTTTAAAAAAATATTTTTTTATTTTTATTGTAAGAACATGTTAGCAACAACAGCACCAAACTCTTTAGTCATGAATCCTACGTCAATGTTAGTAGAGATGAAAAGCTTCATTCCTTCTTCATATACTTTCGAAACAGAAATCCAGAAGATAAAGCAGGAACTTTTAACAAGTAATTTAGACTGTAGTGCGAAAGATGAAACAAATGAACAGTATCTTTATGAAATGCAGGATATTATTGACCATTTACCCAAATTGCCTGAAATCCAACAACAAAAGCTTACTATTCCAGAATTCGATGAAATAGAAGTCAAAGCAACTGACTCAGTAGAAATAAAGAAGTTCATACGAAAGGTTAACTATGAGTTTCTTGGATTTCATTGCAACCACAAAGTCATGGACAAAGATTGCGACATGGTATATTAAGAACATCTCTGACATATACAAATCTGAAGAGTTTAAGACCTACGACAACTTTGTTTCGTTAGTTGCAAAATGTGTATGGCAGATAAGAGATAAAGATAGAAGAGGTAAGATATGGAATGAACAGATAAAACCCGCAACTTTTGAGTTAAAGAGAGCAATTGACGCCTTAGTCATACTAGCAGGTAAGATTTCAATGTACAATGCTAAAATGAACCCACAATGTTCAAAATGTAAAGCAGCAATGAGGAAATATAACTACTCCGTCAAAGAGATAGAACGTATGCGAAACGACTATGCTGACTTAAAGAAAGAAGTAGAGAAACCAGCAGAAGATAAAATGGACATGTTGACATTTCTGAACAAAAACTATCCAACAGCTGACGATTTCCTTCTATCTGATGTCAAGAAGAAATATAAAGAAACCTTCGGCATTGTTAAAACATTCGATGTACTGACAGAAGAAATAGAAGCTACGAAATTGTTTAGAATTTCACGAATTCACAATGTTTACCATGTGAAACGTTTATAAAATAACTGGGGTAGAAAAGAGGTTAGAAAACAGGTTAGATCTAACCTTCTACCCTAAAATATATTTTTGCTGAAAAAAATGACCAAATTTCATGAGTTTTGTATGTTTTAGACCATGTTAGAAAACATGTTAGAAAACATGTTAGATCTAACATTCTAACATAAACATTATTTTTTGGTCATTTACGCTCATTACGAAGAAGTCTTGACAAAACATTTACGAAGAAGTCTTGACAAAACATTTACGAAGAAGTCTTGACAAAACATTTACGATGAAATCATGACAAAGAATGTACGATGAAGAAGTCTTGACAAAACATTTACGATGAAATCATGACAAAGAATGTACGATGAAGAAGTCTTGACAAAACATTTACGATGAAATCATGAAAATTCATAAGATAGAAAAAATAAAGTTAGTTTTATTTTTTTTATTTTTTTATTTTGTATGTAAGAACAGAAATGTTAAACATTGAGTTTGAAACAGTTAGAAAGATAGACAATGACACCAAAGTGGTTCGAATTGGTGATTTAAACGTAAGATACTCAAAGAAATACAAGAAATATTCTTTGTCAGACATTATATCTCCATCTGGAAAGAAAACATGGCATTGGGTTGGAATTGCTTCAACTCAGAAAATTTTGACAAGAAATCCTGAGCTTATGATATCGGTAAGATTCTATGGAACTACAGCATATCTCATTGACAAAAGTCTTATACCAATAGTTTTGTTATGGATTGACCCAGTTGTTGGATATAACTTCATAACATATGGTTCATTCGATACGGAACGTTGCAGTGAAGGCTTACTTTACATCGTTCAGAAACCGAAGGACTTCAATACAAAGAGATATAAGATAGGAAGAACATATAATATAACTCAAAGATATGACAGTACAGTCAATAGAGTTAAGGTTGTGTTCGTTAACGATATGAGAGCTGCAGAAACAGAACTACTTGAAAAGTTTGAGAAAATGTATGGTGCTCCCACGAAAGGTAAAGAAACGTTTGAAGTAGATGAGATAGAGAAAGCTATAAAATTATTTGACGAAGTTGCTGAAAAATACATGTAAAGCGTTTATTTTTGGTCTTTTGTGAAAGTCAGAAAATAACGCTAATTTTTTTCTAACAAATTTTTTTATTTTGTATGTAAGGACAGATATGTCAACAACAGAGAACACAACAACAGTTATAGTCCATGAAGCTATAAATGAAGAATATGAGTACATACAGTTTAACAAACAGTTACGTCTCATTCGTTCGGTCAAAGATGACATGTACCAAATGCAAAGTATTTTGACAGCATGTTTTGCGCCAGATACCAAGCTTCCTAAAGACTGGTTTAGGAACCAAAGCACTATTGAACTATTAAATGAAGCTGAAAATTCGACTACGGATTTTCTCGTAGTCGCAAAAACTCGAGTGGGAGAAAAACCCCAGTCGCCAAAACTCTATGAAAACAGTGAAGAACAGCGAGTGGGAGAAAAACCGCAGTCGCCAAAACTCTATGAAAATCGTGAAAAATTGCCAAATGGTTTGAGAGGTTGGTATGTACATAGACTTCTTGTAAATGCTGTTGCAATGTGGGCTTCGCCTCGTTATGCTTGGTATATTTACAGACTTCTTGACGAAATTCATAGACAAGAACGTGAAGAGATGGAAAAGAAACTTCATGCAAAAGATGAAGTCATTGAAGCAAAAGACAAAAGCATTCAGAAAAGAATACCACGTTCGGTACCAAAAGGAAAGGAAAAGAACTATAAGTATATGATTTATACTGAAGAGATGGAAAATGAAGAAGACAGAGATATGGTTATGTTGCATTTAGTCAGAAGAAACAACAAAAGCTTTTACGACCTTGCTAAGATTTACAAATCTGACAGAAATTGGTTCTATCGCGAAAACTTACCGATTTCAATGACACCGAATGAAGATGTGAAACAAATAGTTCAAGATACGTTACCTCAAACACACTATGATATTAAAGGTTGTACAATACTTACCTTCAAAGAAGATTTGCCGCTACTGAAAGAAAAAATAACAGAGTATTTTGACAACTTCAAACAAGCAGAGTAGATGAACCATTTATTTTTCAAGCTTGACACCAAAGATGGCTCAGGTAGCTCTATAAGGTAAATTGTCTTGTCAAATCCTTCTGGCATTCCGAGTCCTTCCTTCCGATAGGAAAATATTTTCCATCAGACAGGAAAAAATTTTCCATCAGACAGGAAAAAATTTTCCATCAGACAGGAAAAAATTTTCCATCAGACAGGAAAAAATTTTCCATCAGACAGGAAAAAATTTTCCATCAGACAGGAAAAAATTTTCCATCAGACAGGAAAAATTTTTCCTTCCGACAGGAAGAACTCTTCCAGTTGTCCGTCCGTAAACCATTCAAATTTTCGAAAATTGAGAACTTTTTGGTCGAACTTCAGAAAAAGTTTTTCCTTCCGACAGGAAGAACTCTTCCTTCCGACAGGAAAAATTTTTCCATCAGACAGGAAAAAATTTTCCTTCCGACAGGAAGAACTCTTCCAGTTGTCCGTCCGTAAACCATTCAAATTTTCGAAAATTGAGAACTTTTTGGTCGAACTTCAGAAAAAGTTTTTCCTTCCGACAGGAAAAAATTTTCCATCAGACAGGAAAAAATTTTCCATCAGACAGGAAAAAATTTTCCATCAGACAGGAAAAAATTTTCCATCAGACAGGAAAAAATTTTCCATCAGACAGGAAAAAATTTTCCATCAGACAGGAAAAAATTTTCCATCAGACAGGAAAAAATTTTCCATCAGACAGGAAAAAATTTTCCATCAGACAGGAAAAAATTTTCCATCAGACAGGAAAAAATTTTCCATCAGACAGGAAAAAATTTTCCATCAGACAGGAAAAAATTTTCCATCAGACAGGAAAATATTTTCCCGACAACTGGAAAAATTTTTCCTTCCGACAGGACACAAACGAATGTCCGACGTTCCTCTTCCTGAATGTCTTCCAAAGCCAGAAGAACCGACAGCCCCAGCACCACAACAGACTAAGACTAAACACTTACATTTTTTACGCTTGACTTTTTACAATTTGAACTTTGTTCGCGTAGATATGAATTCTGAAAGAAGTATGAGGGTCTTGTATGACTTTGTACTTCTCCCATAGTTCATGTCTGTCAAACTTACCTGCCATGGACTCTTTCATAAGTTCCATGAAATCGTCTTCGGACAATCCGGGGAAAAGTATAATGTCAGTAAGTATTCTTTTAACATCCTTACTTAAACTCTTTGCTGTCTGTACACATATTACGACTGAGATGTTAAAGTGTCTGAGCTTCTTAAGAATTCGACACATATCTTGTTCTCTGTTCTTTAACAAAGGATGAGAAGCAAAGTCATCTAAGATAAGAAGAACATCTATGAGGGTATGTCTTCCAATCGTAAGATTGCAATTTCTTCGAAATGTATTCTATCTCTTTCTGTTTGTTTCTGAAGTGTTTCTTCTCTAATATTCTCTGCATTTCCTCATTTGGGTCTTTAAACTTCGAATTGACATACTCATTTATAGCATTGTACTTCAAAACTCTTCTTTGGTACTTCTTTATCCAATCTAACAACTCAGTATCCTTTATACATACTAACTTAGACTTCTTTATAATATCTTTGAACGAATTGACGGTTTGATCGAATTGACCAGAAGTACTACAAATGACTACTAACTCATAGAATGGGTTCTTCTCATCTAGTTCTTGTTGTTGTGCAGCCATTTTAAGATAAGTGAAAGTCTTACCAGACCCAGGCGGTGCAATTAGACCTGTTATACCATTCTGAGCAAATAAGAACTTTTCATGTATGGGTTTTATCTGAGCATTTTCTAACTTCCTCTTGTTCTTCTTCAAAACATTCTCAAATTTCTTGTCAATGTCAGCAAACTTTTTTTCTAACATATTTTTAGAAAAATTAAAATTTTTATCTTTTAGAAAATGTCTAGTGATTTCGCTATCTATATTCGAGACAAGCTTTTTGACTCTAAAACTTCTGTCGACCATAAAATCTTACATAGTGTAAACAAGAAAGGTGAATTTGTTCTAAAGTTCTGTTTCTGGGAATATGACAAGAACCATAAAACATTAGGCAGAGAAGTCTTTAAGTTTGTCAATGACAGACTTGTTGACAGAGATGACGCCGATTGGAAAGATGAAGTCCAACAAAAGTTCTTAGAATGCAAAGAAGGCACATGCGCTGTTCTTGAAGATGAAATAGAAAACAGAATAGAAGAGCTATTAAAGGACAAAGAACTTTTACATAAATATGGTTCTGAGAAATTTGACATAACTCCACCAGAGAAGAAGAAGAAGAGAGAAAAGAAAGAAAAGAAAGTAGAAGAGAAGAAAGAACCTGAACCAGTTCCAGAGAAAAAGAAATTTGACATGTAAAAATAAAATTTTATTTTTAGAACATTTCTGGGTCAATGTCAATGTTCTCTTCCTCTTTAGGAGCAAACACTGGCTTAGACTCTAAAATCTTTTTACCCAATTTACCTTGAACTTCAACTATCTTAGACTCATAATATTCATAGTCGTCTGCTTTCTTTGGTTCATAAGGTATAACAAGTTTGTATGCTTTACCTTCTTTAAGGTTTGAGAACCTTCTGTCAAAATTTTCTTTGACTGTTAACAAACCTTCTATGTCTAAGTCTTCAAATTTCGCACCATTTTTAGTCACAATAGCAAACTTAACTGGTTCGATGTTCCAAACTTTGTCAAATGTAGACTTTTCAAAATGGTAGAAGTAAACATTCAAATATGCGAATGGAGCTAACTTATCTTTGACTTCTGTCATGTACTTATTTACTGAGATGAATTTTGCCATCTTTTCTATCGGATAAAAAAATATTTTTTTTAAAAAAATGTTTTAAAATGGTATGCCATATAGCTTCTTGAATTTGTTAAGAAGTATTTTAACGTTTTTTCCATCTGTATCTCTAGCGTTTACATAAGCATAGCCATTAGTAAAACATACTTGTAATTTTCTATAGTTTACGCCGGTATAAAAGTAGAAAGAGTCTTGTTCTTCGCTATAGTAGTAAAACTCAAACGTATGCTTACCATAGTCTGTAATTTCAATTGTTTCATCTTCTAGTTCGTCGACAAATTCGAATACAATATCTCTAATTTTGCCTCTGTTCTTACTGTTTTCAGAACAAGTGACCCAGCGTAAATTTTCAAGTCTATTGTCGTTTCTTATATGGTTTATATGGTCTACAAAAGGTAGATTGTTAGGGTTCGGTATAAAATGAGTTGCAATGACAACATGTTTAAAATAGTGTTTTCCACCAATCCTCATCCTAGCATATCCGTTATTTTGCTCCCATTCGCTTAAAACTCTTTTTGTCTTTTTGTTTCTGACTTCAAATGACTCACAACAGTGAATTTCATATTTCTCATCTAACAAACAAGTTTTCCAACAGTCTTTTCCGACAGACTCAGCGTACATTTCAAATAAAATAAAAAAATATTTTTTTTGAAAAAATGTTTTATTTCATGCAATGTTTTACTTCTCATCTAACAAACATGTTGTCTGACGGTCTTCTCCAACAAAACTCAGCGTACATTTTTATAAAAATAAAAAAAATATTTTTTTTATTCTTGACTTTGTTGTTGCATTTGTTGTTCTTGAGCTATTTGTTGTTGAAGTTGTTCTTGTAATACAATACTTTCACCAGTTGCATCTTCCAATTCGAAACTTTCTGCCGTCATTGACAAATACATAGGACATAAAAGTTTTACAGGAACAAAGTTTGCGTCAACTAATGTCAACGTTATACTTGCCAAAGTGTTTGAGTTCACTAAGGTTGAAAATTCTGCATTCGAATGAACAATAGGCAAACCAGCAGAGAAAGTATTGTTTATACGCATAAGTATCTTTTGGGTCATAATAGTTTCTGTCGACATTCGAATAACACTTTGAACCTAAGTTTGAAACAATATATAAAATAGGTGTACTTAAAGTCAATGGAACAGACATTCCTTGTATGACACCTTTTCCTGTTATAGGAAATTGTTGGTAGTAAAACCAGATATAAGTTTTTGTATTATAGCTCATATCGTTTATACTAAACTCAGTCGGACATCCAAACATAATGAAACCTGCTCTAGTTGCAGCACATGTTACATCCGTCCTTAAAGTATTAAATAAGTCAACAAACCTGTTGGTGGTATATCTGAGTAAGTATCTTCAAAGGAGTATTTTTTACCATTCACAACAATAAAATCTTCTGGTGTCAAAAGAGCAAAACAGGCTTTAGTCGTCATTGTGTTTAAAGTTAGTTTACAATACCGTCCTTGAGGACTTTGTAAGTTTGTTGTTATAGAATTATATGACTCGGGTTTTTAGTCGTAATAGTATAAACCATTATATCTTCTGCCATTTACTTAGCAAATAAATTTTAATGAAATGTTGTGGTCGTCAAATATTTTTATGACGTCTGGGAAACTATACTTTAAGTTCAACGTTTCACCTCCTTTCATAACGTATATCTTGTCAATGACATTATATGAAACACCACAGCAACTAACGTCGGGTTCTATTTCTTTGATGTTTATATCGTCTGCCTCTGTCAAAAGTTTCAATAGTTCTTTCAAAACTTCATGAGGTGCAATGACATATGAGTTCACTTTTACAGGGTTGTGTTCGACCAAGTTTAACATTATACCTAAAGCTTGACAAATCTTCTCCTGAGTTTTAAGCTTATCTTTCAGTTGTTTGTAGTCATTTCGAATATCTGCAACAGAACTTAAGTCTCTGCTAACTTCAGGATATGTTGGTTGTTCTTTTACAGGAACTATTGTTATACCATCTTCGTCTTCGTATGGTTTCCCCACTTCAACATCTCTGTCTTTGACATTGACAACAACACTTTGACTGTTTGTTTGAGTTGGTGAATTTAACTTCACATCTGCCACCGCCATTAAACCTTTTGAAACACTCACGCTTCTATTTTTCGGAAATGACATTTTACTTAGAATAAAAAGATGGACGTATTCGAGTATCTCTTCGAATTGAAGCAGAACAAAGTTTACACACACAAACAATACAAATACATTGACAGAATAGTTCTTTATACAAACAATGGTAAATGTTATAGAATAGCAGTCTTTGCTGAACCTAAATATTTTCATAAAGCAAAGAAAGTTGGTAATACTGAAATGGTGAAAGTTCTTGAAGCAGAACAAAAATATAACTTCAAAACTTACAGATATTTCTAAAGGAAAGTTTATAATACAATATTATGTCAAAACTGGCGTACTGTCAATATTTGACGGAGAGAAGTCAGTTCAAGAACAACTTACTGACCTGCTGCCAAAATCTGCTCGATGGAAGCTGTCGTTATGCCAATCTGAGGAGCCCCAGCAGGTTTCATCGAACGAATCTTCAAAAGAGCATCTTCCGTGAAAAGTGCTATTGGTTTTGTAAACTTCTTTGCTCTCAGTTCATCTGGACCGTCTCTGTCACCAGTATATGTATTTGAACTGTACCAACAGTTGAAATACCACCCATAAAGTCTTCTGAGTCAGCAAATGGAATGCCAAGCCAAAAGTTTGAACGGTCTCCATTTGTATATTGAGTTTTTTGACCTCCTGTATGAGTCCATACTTTCACATATGGCATAATAGAACTTTGCATTTCAGGGTTAATGGTTGTTGTGAAGTTGTTGTTAAAGTTCATAGCATCTAATGTCAAGTTGTATGACCTCATATCCTCAACTGTAGATATTCTTCTCTTGGATAATATTGCCATCTATGTTATATGATATTTAATACCAGGTTGTAGAAACAAGAATAGTCATTTATAGTTCGTCTGAACAGTACAAAACATAGTATCTGCATGTTTCATTGCAGTTGAAGGCAATATCTGTTTCTGCACCTGGGTCAGCACTTTGGTTTCCAACTTCACCTGCAAAGTCTTTGACAGATATTTGGTGTATAGGGAACATAAGTGGAACTGCAATATATTTGGCAGCTAAAGCATTTGAAATATCTGGGTCCAACATATAGACTGCAAGTCTGCTTTCTATTCTCTTGCATTCAATTTTCGCATGTGAACTTAACTGGTCCCAAGCATCTCCAGCAGCATTGAAATAATAGTTTACTTCAGTGTTGAGGTTTGAGAAACCAAAGTCTAAGTCAACTTTGTTTTTGCAAAAGTCGGCGAATGACATTTTATTTGTTCCCACTACTTCTGTAAGAGTGAATGGGTCTTGTGTTGGTGCAATGACTAAGTTATTTTTGCTTGGAGTAAGTTCGATAGAAATTTTCCTGCCCAGTTTGGCAAGTATCTTAAAAACCTGAAGATGAGGAAAGATGACAAAGGAACTCTAAGTTTCAGTTTTACTTTGGTTACTGCTGCTGCATTTTGTCCAGAAAGGTCAACATAAACTCCTGGAACGTTAGGGTCAAGTCTTCTTATTTTCTCAATAGTTGCATACTGTCTGTTTGTTCTCTAGCTTGTGGTTGTACTGAGTTTCTCAAAGCGAACCATTCATAGTTTGCCCATTTACTGTTTGAACTAAGTCAGAGTTAGAATATATCTTATATCCCATGAAAAACTTCTGGAGCATATTGGTATCCGACATAGAAAATTCCATTGCAACCTTTCTTGTCAGACAACTTGGCAGAAGGTTTTATTTCAATGTCTTGTTCCACGTATAAGAATGAGTTGTCAATAGAAATTATATGAAACCTGTCGCAAGCAATATCTACTGTTGTTGAAGAACCTTCTCCAAACTCACCTACGTTTCCATAAGAAACAGCAGTTGTATATTCGTAAGTTCCAGGAACTATTTCTGACCTTCTAATGGCATTGTCGCATTCGTTATACCATTCGAAACATTTCCATTCATAGCATCCAAAACTGTTGGCGTTATATTCTGAGCGGCGTACATTTC